AGCGTTCCCACTACACACAATTGCCGGATCTGATCCACCAATTGGGGGATCGAGTGGGAATGCACTGTAAATTTTTGAAGTTTACAATCCCCTTCACATGTCCAAAAGAGCAACATGCAGTAACAGAATTATTCACTGTGTTCTCCTACACACTGCCACACTTAGGCGGTTTTCCAATACTCAACTTCATCTCCTTCTCAGGCTTCGTTCCCAAACTAATCCCCGATTGTGGGCCTGAAACGTTTAAATTACATTGTATTACAATAATTTTTGGCTTTCTTGCATCTTATTTGATGTTCTGTGGCACTATTAGACTGATTACTGCGCTTACAGCTTCGAAGTCAGCTAGTACAAAAAAAGTTGAAGCCTGACACAGAGCCGAAATTGAGTTTTGGAAAATGGCCCTAGGTACAGGTAACATATGATTTGACTTTGTTTTATTCCACAGTTGCAGGTTTAATCTCCACACCCACTCATTGTTTTCTCCACTTGTCCAAGTTGAGGGTTTATACACATGCACTGTACAAAAATTACTGCCACATCTGAACCAACAAACTGAAGTTTATTCAACAAAGAAACAAGTACAGACACAAAGGCAAATTTCACACTAAAATCAAATTATTTTTGAACCTCACCAAAATAACCAAAAAAGAAGACAAATTAACTGTGAGATTGAGGGCAAGCTGAAAACAGATAGAAAACCTGGTACAATACTCTCATCTACAAGATGACAAAAGCAGCTGATGCTACATGTCCTGACTGAGGAGCAAAAGCAGATGGGATACACTTACGGTAACTTCATATTCATAGGACTACACAAGTTTTTACCAGAATTCTTGGGAAGGTTTACAATTGCATTTTGCATAAGAACAGCAAGGACAACAAAACAAAAGCCCAAAAAGTTGTGAACAAAATGGAGCTCTTGTACTGTAGTTTCAATACATGTATTTCATGCAAGAAGTTGCTGCTACGACACAATCTGAGTAAATGCTTTTCAACAGGACATTTATCAATTCAAAACAATTTCAAAGCTTTCGAAACTTGTGTGTGTGTGCAACTTCGACGGCAGACTTTAATGACAGAAAAACTATCCATTTCTAGATGATGTTTGGCGGCACACTGGCAAATTGAAACAGATATTTTCAACACTGCTCTAATGGAAACAATGCATCAAGGATTCATGCCAGAAAAAAACTGACTTTTTATCATGTAGAAAAAAAAATTGGATCTGTTCATGGCACATGTAAAGCAAAGCATGAAATAAATAACCCACCGCTGCCATCAACTAAAAAACTAGGTATGACGTCTATGATCACATACAAATGTCGCCATGCAAAAAATGAAATCTGCAATAAGACAGTAAAGCAATACCTGCACATGGATGAAGATGTCAGCAAACAGCAGGAACCAGTTTTGGGACAATCTACCAGAGTTCTGCAATGTCAGAGGGTTGCTACGGGAATCTCTGAGCAGGCGACGGTCGGGCTTCTTAATAGCTTCCTATTAGGGTTTGGAACAGCGTATTTTATAATGTATGGACACTAACTGAGGCAGATGTCTCCATGCGCTTTAATGGGCTGCTCTGTTTGGTTGCTAAAATGAAAAACCACATACATTGTAAATTGCACTTTTTCGGCATATTTCTCAAGACCGAAACAACAAATGTATGAAATACTGCCAATGTGTATGTATGGATAACACATAAAAAAAAACAATCTTGTGCTCGAGGTGTTACGGGCACACATTTTGTGTCAACATTATGGGCATTCGGTTTGCTGTGCAGTGATAGAGTTAGGATTCTTTCATGCAAACATGCCCATGAAATTACATGTAGGTTTGCACGATGGCCATGTTCTGATGATGCTTCTTTATCTAGGGCATTTAAACAGAAACGAACATCGAGATGGGAAGACCACAGATTCCATAGAGAAGTTGTAATGTCTAGTTAGAGATTATTGCACGGCACTGCTGCAAAATGATACCCCTTCTGAAGACTTAGTGCTACTTTTCCAAAGAATACTGAAATATATTAACTGGAAGATGTTCATAATCTGATTGTCTATGTGCATGATACATTCACTCATTAATAAGAGTAATAAACAGTTCTTTGAAAGCACACAATACAATAAAGTCTCCATGCGCAGAAGAAGCATAGCTTTTTGCAAACATAACTGAAGAACTACTAGTAAAAACATTTTTAAAATAATATATTTTGGCAATTTTACACTTGAAAAGTAGTTGCTACATGTACTAGTAAATGTAAGTATACGCATGACTAGTACATGTACATGTACACAAATGTACAATGATTTTACCGTACCTCATACAGGTACAAATGCATTGATAAAAGTTTGGCTGAAGAATTGAGCTTGCATTTTATATTTCAATGCCTAAACCTACTTTGCCAAATAAGCCATTTGCAAGTTAAATTCAAATAAAATCTGGTACACCGAGTTATCTGATTGCACATGCAATGTAACAATTCGGATTCCCCAGACTAAAAACACTGTTACTATGCCTCGTGATTCGGGGCAAGATTTTGCATAGCGACCACCATCTCTGGAATGAACTGGTTCCTTTGTGCCTCTCTTAATCATTGAGAACAGTGAAATGTTGCAAGGCATCTCTTATGTAACTAAGCAAAAGCTTGTCCCGAATCCTGAGGTATAGCAACAGTGTTTTTAGTATGGAAAATTCAAATTGTTATGTTAACGTGAATTTAAAGAACTCAGTGTACCAGATTTTATTAAAATTTAATTCACAAAAGGCTTAATAGAAAGCTTAACCTCATGTAGTTAAAATTTCCTAAGGTTTCAAGACTTTTACGAGTTTCAATTCCTTTGAACTTATAACGTGGGTATTGAAGAATATCAATTTTCTGCTCTGATCACTTACGGCAAGTTTGGATGGGCAGGATTCCCAGAATGCCCTTGTCTCCTCAGCATGGGCTTTCTTCTCGTCAATGTTACGTTGGAGTGTCTCCCAAGCTTTACTGCTCTCACTCAGGAGACTGAACTCTGTGCTTCCCTGCAGAGATAAAGGTTCCAACACACAGACCTGTATAAAACACTTCCAGTCTTTATCAGAGGTTTGGACAACCTCAGGATGAGACTGCAAGCTGCAAAACTTCCCAGAAAGTCTTTGCAAGTCCATGCCAGAGTCTCTGTACCCTACGCCTCGGCACATGTCTCTAGTGTAATCATACGGTACCTAACAGCAGATTTCATATGGCACATCTAGAGAAATCTAGGGGTGCTAGCAGTTTTGAGAAGTTGGCTCCTTCACTTAACTGTCAATCATTTCAGTTGTCATCAAAAAGGGTACAGGTGCATACCTACACAAAATCAACCCATACTAACTTGTCCTAGGGCCCAACTTCAGCAAATAGTCCTGCCTGTTAAACTTATGTGGTTAGCTCAAAACAGCTGGGAACAAATTTTCATGCCTTACCTGTCTATGACAGGTAAGGCATTTGGCTGGTAACCTACTTTTGCATAGCAAGTTTTTAATTCACCACCAAAATTGCTGCAAATGTGAAACTGGAACCTGATTATCACCTGGGCATAGTAATTCTTTAGTTTCCCCAGGAGGTAGGCATAGGATTTGACTCTGTCCAAGGGCAGCTTCATTACGCCCCGCAGTGGCGCACCATAGCTGGCTGGTTTCTCCTCGTTCAAGAGTTCCGTGAAGACGGCCTCGTGCTTCGAGAGTGCATCACTGGATGACAAGACATTCAAAAATGACTGTTATCAACACAGCACGGACATACAAGGAGGGTAGCCACAGCTGAAATGTTGCTAAGATTTATTAGAGGTTAGAATTACTGTGCTGGATTACTGGATTACTTGCTCGACAATTAAAGTTACGAGAATGAAGGCTGTGTTAACAATGCGGTAGAACAGTGCACTGGCACACTTTTGTGGCGTGTTTAAAATTTTGTTTTCTTTTTTGAAAGGTGGAGAAATATATCATGGTACAGCCAGTGAGAATTGAATTTACCTTCCAACTTTCCCCATGTGAGTGAATCCGCCAATGGTAACAAAGTTGCAGACATAGATGGCGTACTGTTCAAAGACTGCCCGATATTCCATTCCACCCTTCAGAATGGCCAATTCCGTAAGGTCGCGGCTTCGCTGGACAGCTGCTGTCAGGCCAATGGAATTGTGGGCCACAGTTGTGCCAAGTAACGAAAAGAGGTCTATAATTTGTCGGAATGGCTGCTGATAGATGGTCCCTTCAAGTACTTTGTTGATGTCTGCATAAAGAAATCACCAATGCTACGTAATGTACATACACTGTACTCTTACATACAAGCCATTTTGTACGAATATGTAAGTGCTTCATCTGAAGTAGGAACCAAATACTTTTCGAAAAGTGGACCTGTCTGCTGAAGTCTGTAAAAGTAATTTTGACTAATAACACCACTTTGGTTGGGAAAAGAAAGCCACGTAAATGTCTCGAGACTACCATCAATTATAAAGCCAGAGATGAGTTATCTTGCTGCTAAATACGCTGTGTGCCTAAGCAAAGCATGTGTACGTAAGCTACAGTAGTACTAATGATATTTGCAGGCCGTGCAGGCTCCTAGTCAGTGTGGACAACGATCTTCTCAAATATTTGCTGGCTCTGATATGCCTTAACAATTGTACCCAGATCCTATCTTTTCTAGCTCACTAGCATTCAAACCAGCAATAATCAATCCCTTTACATATTCTGCCATCAACACATTTTTTCCAAGATCGGCTTCCTACATGGAGATGTATAAACATAACATTCTGGAACACAGACAGCATCCACAGCTGCTCAATGTACCTGCCCCACTGAGAGCCTTGATGATGGTGGAGCGCGTCGTGGTCAGCTGGTAGTGGAGCAGTCTCTCCGAGGTGGCCAGCTCGTGCAGAATGGCCGTGAACCCAGAGGCGTTCTTGTCGGCGATGCATGCACACAGGTCGGAGGCAGCAGTGACAAACTGAGCCCAACCACACTGGAACAGGTCACCAAAGAATCACACTCAGAAATAATGATTAAAAATGTTTCAACATACCACCAGAATGATATAAACAGAGGGAAGGAATGGTATGCATAGTGTGCATCAGTGCACAGAGAACAGTTCAAATAATATATACATGTACATGTATTCTACATGTATTTGTAAAAGTATCACATTCTGCCCATGTCAGAATTAGTTTTCAACAATGGTGCTATTATTAAAACGAATACATTTTTAACAAGTACTAGATTTCAGTTTACTATACACATCTCAAAAAACAGCATTTTTCAGGGTCTCCCTGACAAGATTGTGGTCTTTCATGAACCTGTAAGCTTCATTAATACAGTTAGACATTTTTGATGATTTAAGTTTGAATTGGGTGTCAAGGTTTGCTTTCTTTGTTTTGGCTTTTGTTACCATGAAGGTAACAATGTGATGTAATACTACAGAAGTTACGTCAGGCTACAAACAGTACAGCGCAATGATTGTTGTCAAGATGTTTTTGGCAATTGTCTGTCAAAAAAGTCCCACATTGGCCACTTGCAGCCCAAGGGGTGCAGAATTGTGGAGCAACATCGTACTGACCTTTCTGATGAAGGCCAGCTTTTCTGGTTGCTTGGCTCTGGCTGCATATTTGACCGTTGGCCCTTTGGCAATGCTGGACATGGGCCTCTTCTTGCTGGCCTCTTTGTTCTCCTTGAGGGGGCTGCTTTCCGGCGTGCCGGTACGGCCTTCGCTCTTCAACTCTTGGAGACTGGCAGTTGATTAAAATAAACAAGTCGCCATCAGAGATTAACAGACTGGTGATAAACAAAGACATCTAAAGAGGCTTTGTTTTCTTGGTTCAAGCAAAACATTTGCTAAGGCAGGTACGTAAATATCTTGATTGATGATATTCTTATGTATTACACAAAAATTTATTATATTATTAAAATAATTAATTAAAATTAATTATTAATAATAATTTATTAGAAAGTTATTAGAAAATCACACAAAATTGTACATGTAATTGATTTGTCAGTCAGCTTTGGTATTATACTTCATAGCATACTTCAAGAATACGAGTGACTAAACAGAGAAACTTCAAAAGGAAATCTATATATCACAGGTTTCAAACTATTAGGACAACTTGGCTGAAACTGGCATGGCCTTTCCCCAAAACCAGTTCAATAGAACCAGTTCAACACAATGTACATGTATCAATAGCTGTAATTCATTACACAAAAGCTGTGTCTGGATTGCTTTACTGTGGCCAGCAATCACATATAAATCTATGGGAAATGGCTATCCTCACCAGCCAGTGGCTTCCTTTATGCATGTTACTCCAGGCCATGTAGCCAGGTACATCAGACATGGCTGACATTGATCTATCCTGTATGTGTATAATAACATGAAACTGCCCCAGAGTAACAAATGCATACAGGTACTTGTACCTTGGTTGTTTTCCTAGATAATATATGTCTGGCTGGCAGCTGTTCCCATCTGCTAGCAGGAGAGTATGGGTGCTTCCAGCAGCTGCATCCCATACCAGGGCATTATTAGGCATCTGGAAAATAACAAAGGAGGACATGAGAGCCATGAGTTTTAGGACTATATGTACATGTACCTAGTACATGTACCGATACTGTACATGTACATGTAACTTTACCACCAAGAGGCTCAATGACCAACTGATGTGGACCCAAAAAACATGGAACCAGAAATAAAAGGGCAAATTCACTTGTGTGTACAATGAAATAATTTATTTTTCAATAATTCAACTCAAAAGGACGGCCACAAAACAAATTTCTCCTATTGCATCATTAGTTTTAAGAAGACAAAGCAAGGTTGCAGGCACACTGGATGTGCACACATGTATGCTTGCAGCTGTGCCCACTGCAATGATCAGGGTGCATTCCACTAACAAACACGTACACAACATGTAAACGCTGTCAAAAGTGCCAACAATTTCCGGTTTATTTAAACTCTGGCTTCCAAGGAATTTTTTTTACAGTGTACAGGTGTACAAGTACATGTACCTGTTCACTTGGCAGTGCCCTGGACAATATTTCTGATAGATGACACCATACTGAATAAGTATCAAATTTTGAGTCCTGTCTTTACGCTGATAAAACTTCTCAGAATGAGAAAATTTGGGGCTTGCACAGGACACATGGTGCAAAGAATTTAAAAGAAACATACAACACAAATTTGTTCCATTTTCACCTTAATCCTCTTTGGTATGAGCTGACCATTGTGTCCAAGTTGACCATCAGAGTTGCTGCCCCAGGAGTAAGCATGACCACTGCTTGTTATGGCCATCGAGTGGCTCGGTCCAGCGGTCACCCGGACGACACCCTTATTTGCCAATTGCTTGATAACCAGGGGTTGTGCTCTGTATTAAGAGGAACAAGTACATGTGCATGTTGAGTGCCAACCACTAGAAAAGAAATCAAAAGTTGACACAAACCCTTGTAAGGGCTTCAACCTGATGGATATCTGGATGTATCTTGTAGACACTCTGTAAGCCATTCAGAGTAATTTCGGACACTCTTTGTTGTCATTGAATGTGTAAAAAAAAATCAAACCTGGATTAATGCCCTGTTTCACAATCCGTGGCAACTAACTTTTGAGGCCCTGGTTTACAAAATTTTACACGTACTCAAACCTTGCGTCGTGTACAGACATGACAGAAGAAAACAGCTCAATGTGTATGACATTTACCCTAAATCTATGTTTGTGAAAAGTGAAAGAGGAACATCACCTCAAATCCCAAACTGTATAGTACCAGAGCATTAAGCAGTACAGTGTATTTCTCAATGAACACTCAATCTGCAATTCATATAAATCTACACAGGCACATCACATGCATTACTAATTTGTCATGGCCGACAGCCCTAGTCTCTGTATTGCAAGCAGCATGACCAAATTTTGTTATTGCTGTCAGATAACTCGCCCTGTAAAATGTCAAGCAGAAGCTCATTCCTGATGCTGCCAGACAGGGTTATCAAATCTGGCAGGAATGGCATCCGTAAGTTTATCAGGGTAACTGAATATGTGGTTTGCCATGGGATATACATGTACATGCAATAACTTCATGTACATGTATACAGTTTCAAAATACAACTCATGTACTGTAGGTATACACGTACAAGTACATGTACGGTACATTTTGGAAAATCTCATTCAGGTATAGTACCATATATATGTACATGTATGTAAACGTGCGTATTAAGCCTGTACATCTCATCCAACCTGTAAGTGTAAAGGATTCAGGACTGTTAGAGTTAAATTAACAGGGGTGAGATTAAGCGATGATAAAAGTAGCCGAAAACAGCTGAAAAATGGCATAAAGAGCTGAACTGTGAAAATCTCGTATACTTTTGTACCCAGCCAGTGAGGAAAAAAAAGCTGAAATCCATAATAAAAAACTGAAATCAGCTAAAAAGCTGAGAAATCTCACCCCTGCTAATTACTAAATGTATTATACATGTACATGTACCAGTACACTGTGAACAGTCCAAGCAAAATATCTCACCTTTTCACATTTCGTTTTTTTGTCGAAACTGTTTTTACCCACCCACCCCTATTTTCGATAAATCAGATCAAACTTACGGATTGCTCGCATGGCATGCATAATTCAGGCGAGTGAAAAGATCGATTTGTTTTTCCTTTTCTGAAAAAAATGTACCTTGACCCACCCACCCACTATTTTGAAAAAATTAAAACATCAAAAAATTTGAATGGCCACTGAGAAATTGACATTTGTTTTTCTTTTTTTGACCAATAGCTGCAGTTTTTAACCATTTTCCGGTTGAAATAATGTTTGATATTAAATTGAATATTCTTTTTGTGATCTTTACTTGCAGCTTCAGTAATCAGCTTTAAAATGGTAGCCAGCATAAATACTTAATAAGATAAACTATTTTTGACCATCAGATTGACATTTCCCCTTGAACACATGGTTACCATGTTTCAGTATTAAAGGAATGCCAATTAGCAGAATTAAATACATAAACTCTGTGGAATACATACCGTACATGTACGTGTACTGCATGCCATGCATACACGTACGTGTACATGTAGAGTGTATACATGTAATTAATTACAGAACTGTTGAAAGTTGGAGCAGATACATGTACATGTACATGTAAACACCCTTGTCACTTGTCAGTTTCTGCACTGATTTTGCTTGTTCAGGCAAATTCACACAAGTTTTTACACAAGTACCAGTACGTGTTCATTGCTTTTGCATATTTGTTTTGGAGTAGCTACATGTACATGTATGTTTGCTATAATAAAGCACACCAAATAAAGTGCAATGGAAACCTACATGTACAATGCAAGTGTCTACATGTGTACATGTACATGTACCGGTACTAGTAGCACAGGTACATGTAGCTACTGTACATGTATCTACATGTACATGTACAGGTACCGCTACAAGTACAATGTACATGCGACGAGAAAACAACAACCCAGGTTAGTAGTCATCAGTTGAGAAAATAATTTGGTAACAATGCCCAATCGATTACATGTAACAAGTGCCTGTGTCACCAGGAAAGTTTTGGTACTGGAAACGGTACAAGATGGGGTCCGGTCAATGGAGTAGCTGGGGGGGGGGGGGGGTGGGGCGGAATGGGAGAGGGAAAGGGCAATGTACTTTTCAGGGGGGGAGCAAATTTCCATGTGCAGAGTACATGTACATACATGTATACTCATCAGCAACAGAGGCAGGGGTTAGTTTGAGATGCCAGTATTTTCACACTAATTGGAGATTTTCCTCTTGTACATCTTTTTCCATTCATTTTGCTTGTCTTTCCGTTTTTCCTGAGCATTTCTCATTTTTTTTTGGGGGGGGGGAAGCAATGCCAATCCTCCCAATGCCAACAGGTTGGATTATTGTGCACCCAAGTTTCATGCATACAGGTTGATCTAGTCATGCTGCTCAGGAAATGTATAATTGCTGACTCTTTCCTGGATTTACTCTCACCACAAAGAAATGCTGAATACATGTACATGTACCGTACTTTCTGATCACTTGTGCTCTGAGCTAATAAATAACTCCATTCAGATTAAAAAAAAAATTGCAAGTTCCAGGCTGGTGTTTGGCAATGACTAAGTGTTCTGGGCAAAACCCATTCGTAATTTACAGGTAACTTGGCCTGCCAAGGTACATGTACATTGGAGAAGGGTTCCCTGTGGTACATGTACATTGTACATTGGGACTTGAGCTGGCTTACCGTAGTACGGTGGAATTACCTAGATTCCAGTGCTACTAACTTAATCTTGAGCTTGGACTCAAGTCACAATTTTTTGATTTTACACTTCATGTATCGGTAGCACACGGAAAGAAAAAGGACCAGACTTTGATTTGGGAGAAAATGACTTTGGCAAATTTGATTTTTTTTGCTGAAAGTATGCAAGCACACAAAAAATCTACATGAATGACTTTCAATGTATGAATACAACACTCCTGCTTTTATAATTATACTGCTATTTTATATAAGAATGTGTATGAATGTGCATGTAAATCAAAGATACCATATGGTAGTAGCATTATGATGGAAAAATTAACAAAGACTCCCTCGGTCCGTCAGTATGACGTCACAAGGGGCAAATCAACCCTTTGTGCTATTCAATAATGCACAAAAATTCCCGGATGTCCGACCATGAGAATGGGTCAGACTTACATGTATTTCCAAAACATGATGTTCATGTGGGTCATCACATGTACATGTCCTGTACATACATGGAGTAATGTGCACGTATACTGGTACGGCACCGTCCATTAATGAAATGCAATGTTGTGCATCATGAATACATGTAACGGTACATGTAATTCCACAATGTACAGTAGGCTCTTAGCAAATTTCTGCAGAATCTACTAAAAAAAAAAACAAAACCAGGAAACATGCACTGCATTCCACTCAATGGGACAACTTTGCAATCTCCATGGTCTCCATGGCAAACCATAAATACATAAATTTCACCGGTACATACGGTGTCACCAACAGGAAACACCAATGCTACTGGTACATTATCTGCGATTTTAAGAGAATTGTCAACTTACAGAGTATACACGTCCATGTACATGTACACAGGATTTCAACAAGAAACACCAAAATGACACTTTTTTCTTTTATAAGAGAGAAAAGTTGTTGAAGTCGTCAGAACAGAACAGTAACAGGTACTCCTAAACCTACAAGTTATGCCAAAACTTGACATTTATGTTTTGGAAAGCCTTATTTTGAAATGGCAGCAGAGCTGGGATCAAGATCTAATCAACAGGAAAAGATGTAGTTGATATTTAAACAAGGAAATGTATGAGCTGCAAAAAGAGTTTATTTCTTTTTCAAAAATACATCTACATATATACATGTACCACACACGTACATGTCCAGAAGACACATATGTACATGTACACATAAATCTTTTTTTTTATTCATGCCGGTACATGTACTAGTACGGTACCTACATGTACATGTACTGTAAGCACGGACATACCAGTACAGTGTACTGGTACATGTACATGTACATATACTGTACGTTGCTCAACTGTCATTCAAACACGAATACTGCATCTCCTCTAATGTCATGTACAGCTGTTGTTGAAGATGACCTCTGCAACTGGAGATTTCAACATCACTGTAGTTGAGAATTCAGTGATGCAAAGTTTATATGAGAGAGAAAAAACTAGATTTCTACCGTGTGAGTCATCACTCCAACATCATCTGCTCCAGCATGTGTGCATACTGCATAATAACTGCATAAAAGGTATGTGTGTGCACACTGCAAACAGGTTGTACCGTACAATTCAACAGACTGTCTCACATACACACACTGTGACACATGTAACTGATCAAATGGTGCTGTTCTTCAAAGGTTGAATTCTTGTCAAATGCAGCTACATGTAGTTAGAAAATGTGCAACATTTTAAAAGAGTCACAACACTGATGGAATACATGTAATTTGTATACATTTACGTGTATATGCTTACACAGCATTTTTAAAAGGCAAGTTCAGATTAGAACAAATCTTGGCCTAGAACCCCCAAAACACAAATGTGTGCCTGAGCACTGATGACTAGTGTCAAAATATGCCTTCAGAAAAATTTGAATAAAACCTGGTAAAGAGTTATCATATTGCACATAAACATACCGGTAATAATTTGAATTCCGCAGACTGAAGACACTGTTGCTATACATGTAGCTCATGATTCGGGAAAAGCTTTTGCATACTGACTAGTGCTGACCACCATCTCTGGAATGGACTGGTTCCTTTGAGCTTTTCTTATAAATCCATTGAAAACAGTGTATTTGGTGCAAGGTGTCTCTTTCACGTATGTAGCTAAGCAAAAACTTACTCTGAATCACGAGGTACCAATATGGCAACAGTGTCTTTAGTCTAGGGACTTCAAATTATTACCTGTACCGGTATCTTCATGTGAATGTAAAGAGCTCAGTGTATCAGATTTTATTCAAATTTTATTCACAAAAGGCTTATTGTAAGATGTGGCCTGAGTGTTACTCTGATCTGAGCTGAAGGCAAATTATGAGGTTGGCTTTATGACATACGAGTACATACATGTTTATGTACTCAACTGTGAGAAGGCCTCAAGATAAGCATAAAGTGCTGCAAAGGCCTTAAGGCATCTCCTTTCACCTGATTATTGATGGGGTACAGAGTAATACATGTATGCACATATGGCATGAACACTGTACTGGTATTACAATTGTGATGGCAGGGTGTGAACAAAGACATTATGGTTACACTTATTACTTGGTATCCAATACTTACCCGGTACCGTACATGTACAGTGTATGTGTACCGGTACATGTTAGTTTGTAAAGTGGTGGACAGGAAGTAAAAGAAAATGGAGTCAGTCTTGAAAATATTGCAAAGAGGAATCTAAAAACATTTGTACTGGAATCTTTTGCTCGTTGAACATGAAGCTGTGTCCGTGTACACGTAGAAAAACAAGGAAAACCATGTAATGTTAGATCAGCATTAAACGGTGTCACATGCACTGTGCATGCACATTATGAATACTAACTTGTCAAGAGGGTCTCCCTGACCCAGCTGTCCATTGGCCCCCTTGCCCCAGCTCCAAACCTCTGTCTGCAAAGTTGAATCATCCAAAGGACCTTCCAGTGAAAACCTGATGTCGGACCCCTTGCCCAATTCGGGCTGGGATCCGCAGCTCATGAGCTCCTCAACCTCAATATCCTCTTGGTTGACGTCTTCAGTCAGGCTGAATTTGGACCTCAGGCTGACGGGGCTCAACAGCTTGCTTATCTTGGAGGCCACAGCTTGCGGTAGGCTGGCGAGGATTCGGTCCTTGGGGGAGGTCCTCTCAGCTGGTCTGGGAGGCTCTGAGAGCTGAAGGGGCTTCAACTGCTGTGCCAGGTACTTCTTTGCAGATGCACTGTCAAAGGATTCTGTGAAAGTGAGTCGTCGCTCTGACCGAATTGTTGGGGTTGGGGTGCTGGCACTATCTGCCTGATCATGGAAAACCTCCCCATTGGCCATTGGCTCCCCTTTCACGGCCTGTGCATCTTGACCTTTGTCCTCATCTACTGTGTATGTACCTTGGCTGTTATTGGAGTCCTCGGAATCACTCTTGGTCGCATCGTCCTTTTTGGCCGCTTGCCTTGCAGCAACATCGATACTGTCAGGCGAGAAGCTTCTCATCGAGGGCATTTCTTCGACAGAGCTGCTTGTGGTTCTTGTGTCCGTTATGATGACAATGTCCCCTTCCTCGTGGAGGGAGTAGATTTCATCTGTCAGCTGGAGGCTACTGGTGCCAGAACCTTCCTCATCCAGATCTCTCAGCCTGGTGCCACTCAGCTTGGAAGAGCGCACTTTCTGTACTACAGCCAGACTGTGGTTTGAGCCACACGCTATCTGTAACACCTTCTTCCCAACCAGGCCCTGTACCTTTCGTGGGGTCAGGACTGGTGTTGACCCCGTCCCGAGTCCCAGCTGCGGTCCAGTCCCCCATGCCCATATCTCGGTGCTGCTAGACAAGGCCAAGGTGTGTGAGTCACCGCATGAGATCTGTGTGATGATGGGGTCGGAATCGGTGTCGCTGATCTGCACCTGCTGTGGGGCGTTGGTTTTCTCTATCTGTCCGATCCCGCACTGCCCGCTGCTGGAGTCTCCCCAGCAGAAGACAATGCCGTCTGAGCACAGCACCGCCGTATGGTTGCCTCCGCATACCACATCGATGACGTTCTCCCCCTTCAGGTCTTGCACGAGCACGGGCTGCTTGGTGACGTCAGAGAACTTCTTGTGGCCCAGTTGACCGAGTTCCCCAGCCCCGTAGCAGTAGACAGCATGCTGATCAGTCAAGAAAGCAGAGTGTCTGCTGCCCAGGGAGACCTTGATCACATTCTTGGTGTTGAGATTGGGATAGCTGTAGGGGGAGGTGCTGCTCAGGAAGCCCTTCCAGAAGTAAGCGACGGACTGCAGGCTCTGCTGCTGTTTGGCAGTATCTGCATCATCAGGCTCTCTGTAAGACCAAACAAATCAAAGGGATCATAAGAATTTTCAAGATAGAAATCCTTTGTAATTCTGCACACTTCATGAAATACAGTAAATACAATTATGTACCTGTCCACATGTATAACAGTATAAAAAGATTTTTCTTCCCTAAGAAACATAAATGAAAAACACAAAGTGCCCACTGGACAAGGGGAACAACATTAACAGTAATCAAGTTATAAAAGCACATTATTTCAGTAAAAGTGAGTAAAACACTTAATCTCTGAGTATTCATGGATATTGTACACGTATTGTATGCACCAAACATAACAACCGGTACATGCATTTTTACTGTCCATAATCCAAATTTTAATCTCTCACCAACCAGAACCAGATCTTAATTTCCAACCAAGTGGGAATTTAAAGTACAGTACATGTAAATACAGTATGTGCATGTATGCAATAAATGTGGAATTTCGGTAGTGCGGAAGATTTGTAGGAAGAAGCTTACAGATACATGTACATGTATAACACTACAGGTACATGCATTTTGTCTAGCTAACGGTGAAATGTTCTTTCAACTACAACCGGAATTGTCTTTTTTAGATTATCCAAGGAGAATGTATCTCCATGGTCTCACAAACAAAGCAACACAACTGTATAGTAGTATGGTATGATCAACATGCCACTAACATCTGATATTGCTGCTATGCTACAACTGTACATTTACCAGTATGTCATGTATGTAAGTACTGTACATGTGAGTTAAGTCTTTGCATTCAACGGTGATTTGCATACATGTACAATACATTTTACATACATTATATTGTATGAGGATGCAAGAACCCATCCACTGTACATGTACAAGATCTACATGTATACACACCGGTACAATTGTGCGTGCAAAGTGTACATGTACAATGTAATAACAAAATGTGAATGTTTGTTAAAATGACAAGTGGTACATTTGATGTAGATATATTAAACACAAAATCCAAAAATCAGGGTATGTGCAGGCTATCATATCTTAACCACAACATGAAGCCCAATAGATGGACCATTTGCATATATGAAATGCTATGTTAGCATACCAGTAGTAGGACAGAATTAATTAATATTCATGACTGAGCTTTCCATTCTAATTGGACATCATTGTCCTTACAGCATCTCACTACACTCAATGCAAACACCCTGTTGAGATCACAGTCTGTCAAATCTGTCACTGTTTGCGGTTTGGTGAGAGCCCATTTTATTCTGGCACTTTCGCGATCTTAAATTGAATGCCCAGTGGTCTAGAAGTGTCCACAGATTAGTCATCGGTCTAAGTGCTAGAGACGGTCTTTTTAGCCACAGGCAAGTTCATTTTTTTGCTAACAGATACACAGATAGTGGAAGTGCCAAAACTACATGGACACATACAATGTACATGTACGTGCACACTGTACCGATACACGTATGCCAGACACTTCTTAATCGTGCTCATACATACCGGTTACATATACACATAGTTAAGCATCTGAGATGATGAAAAAATTGTTCACAGTGGAAAACGTGCTCGTCAAGTGCAGACATTGAAGCATTTGGTATTAAACTATGATTTCTCACATTCATGTGTTGCAAGAGAAACTTCACGAGCAGAGCGGCTTCTGAAACAGCAACCGCTAATTACTAAAATAAATGATCTGAATACCGCACACTGGTTTTCATGCATACATGTACATTTACATGTGCTGCATAACAATTTTCATCTTATTTTGTTTATTGATACGAGTACATGTACATGTAGACTATACAAACAGGAATGTTGCCAGTCAATACATGTACATTAACATGTAGGGCCTAAAAAAAATCAAAGCCATATTTTTGCCTAATTTTATAAACGTACATGTACATGTATCTAGAATTCCAGATTTAAATATACATGTTGGGAAGATGCCAAATTTCAATGCGACAGTTTCACTTTGCTGTCAGGAATATTTCCTTAAAAAGGGTCCTTTTTCTCTTCAAATGGCAATAAACTAACAGGTTAAAAAGAAATTAATTCCACAAGACTAAAAAAATGAATTTGCAAATTTACCGGATATTTCATGTGTTAAGCCGTATGTATGATTATTTGCGAAATTATACCAACATGTGCATGAACTATACTTCATCACTGCATAAATTTGTCAGTTGTCTCATCATGGAGGAAGGAATAGATTCATACACTGTACTGCTACATGTAGTGTAACTGCTATGGTCTTCTGTGCTTTAATAAACAACAAATCAAGGAATTTAGCATGTCTGCCATACATGAACATGTACAGTTACTAATTTATTCCTAGCACGTATTACGAAACCCCCTGAGATGGCAATTATCTTCCAGTCAGCTGATTATGATCAATAGGGGACTGCCCCTGGCCATGAGGCCCCCCATCCTGTCAAGATTGATCCCCATTCATAAATACAATACCACATGACACCAGTGTGCTGATTTACAATGTACATGTACAGTACATGTACATGTACCAGTAAGTTATGGCCAGCTGCTAGATCTATAGGGTGTCTTGTTTACAATGAATGACAGAGTTGGAAGGTTTGTTTAGAGGTTTTTTCTTCAGCAGTATGAAATTATAGCAATTATACACATACAGTATATTGTAGGATGTGGGAGTGGTGGGTTGGATGGGATCATGGGTTGCCTGGGAGTGAAGGTCAGTTACGGGTGATCTCATAACATACAGTGCATGGAGTCATCTCTTGGGTAAGCTCAAGGCACAGTCCCACGTCTGCAGCTGTCCATTACATTCTGGAAAAACAGGGTTCCTGCACCAAAAGGATGATTAAATTCCATGCTTTTCCATGACCAAAATGAAAATCCATGATCCAATAGTTGCAATTTCTTGAACTCTTCGGACTTTTACCTGTAAAGTTGCAAATGAAATCACACACTTTATGCACTTATTTCTAATAGAAATCACACAGTGTTTGAAGAACTTCCATGACATTTCCATGACTTTAATCATTTCTACAAAATTCCATGACTTTTCCAGGCCTGGAAAACAAACATGCATTTAAGACCAGTTCAGGAGAATGAACGCGGCAAGGTTATTATCAATGTTTGTTCTCCTGAGCAAGGTTTTAAACATTAACTTAGTTTAACACCGGATAAGCACATATTTATTCCCATTCATAAATACCTGTTTATTCAGAGTCAAAAGAAGTCAAGATATGGTATGATGGATTTCCAATGATATTGTTCTAAAATGTTACTTTCATTTTCCCAAACACCCTAACCCATTTTATGGTACATGTATGTTCCTTTTGAAAATTGTCCAATAGAATGTCCTTTTATTCGGACTTGGCACGTGTGTTGCACGTTCTGCATGTTGTTTGAGACCAATAGGGATGGAGTAAACTTTCTCATATCCAGGTACATATACCAGCGCGTGTTTCACAAAGCGGGCATCATCACTTCTCAGCGGGTGTTGTCAATACACGGTCAAGTTGCAGGTTGTTGAACAGTGAAACTGTCTGAGGTACAGGTATTTATGAAAGTCCATTTTAAAAAAAGATGATCTCTGTACTGTACAGAGATCATGCCAATACCGTTTTGACACTTTAGCAAAAACTGATTTACTGCCATGCAAGCAATCCATGCTTAAGCATGCATTAGTTGCACTGCTACATAGTACATTGTTTATGTACATGTAATGGAGGTACACGTACATGTACATGTACATTGTACATGTGCTGGTATGCATGTACATTGGTATTCTGGACCGACTAAGGCACACTTTGTTGATCTAGAGAGGCTGCAAAAGAAAACTCTAAAGAATTATTTTGGCTGGTGATCTTAGTTCTGCAAACCCTGTAAAGAAATTTGTCAAAAGTATGGGCTTCCGACTATATTGCTGATAGATTGGAACAACTCTTCTTCAATTTTGGCAAAATCCTCTTGGATTGCCAAACCTATTGGCATTGGCTCCCTCAAAACTGAAATTACAACTTGCGAAATTTGAATCAGATGTGTACTCTGAAATACATGTACTGGACTAACCGATATAAGAGGAGCTGTATTCCATCTCTTGTAGATGCACTTAATAAAAGTAATTAATGTGTTTTCTGTTTCAGTGCTGGGTTTTTGTTGGCTCTGGTTGCGTGGTGATGGTTTACTCTGCTCAAAAATTGGCTTATGCATACATGTACATGTACACGAAGGTGTCCGGCTGGTACCACGGATAAAAGATGGTTGTCCTGTGATAACCTGATATGTCTGGTCTTCCAGTCATAATTGTTTTGTTTTTGACTTGTGTCTTTTTGTCTTTGAATCCCATGCTCTTGCCACTTCTGTTACTTTTTGATACTTTTTTGCCATACATGTATTTTGTTGTGATTCGTATTGGTAATGTCCTTTGTACGTTTCTACATGTACCGGTAGTCTGTGGTCTGATAAGGAAAGTGAAAATGTATTCTTTTGTAAATGTATCACATTTCCATGTGTCCCGATTATTGTCATCTTTAGTCTTGTATTTCTTTGCATTGCTTTTCAACAAAATATGTGTATACGTTTTACGTAGATCAATCTTTTTATATATACATTACTTAACATTTATGTTTGAAGCAGTTACCATGGTAATTCCAGAATTGTGTGGTACACGTATGGTACATGTATATGAATACAAAAACGTAGGGTCATGGTAGAGTCTACTGATGATGACAAAGGCAGGTTGTACTAGTTTAAAATAAATGTGCACTGTACAATGGCTAAATGCATTGGCAGTACAACACTGTAGGTGTACCGGTAGTACCGGGTACCAAAACCCCACATGGGAATGAGCTGGGGAATCCTCAAGATTCTTGACGTCTAAGAAACAGTGCAGATCTTCAGCTCATGGGAGTAAGGCTTGGTTTCTTCTTCAGGATGAGTCACTCCGCCGGGAGAGTAGAAGATGGGTGATGTGGCAGGTGACCTCATTACCCAGGAGACCGGCTTAGCAACGCCACAGTTTGCTCTCCGTCTGCTTGGCCCTGCCTCACTCATGCATGAAGTGCTCAGGGAATTAAGGGAATGTACTGGTTTCCCTTGTGACCCTCTGCTGGGGTTTCTTGGGAAGTATTGTAGGCTGAAAGAAGGCGTGGACTGGCTCGAACATGTTGGAATGTGGATAGCGCAGAAGGAAAAGTGCTACAACACTCATTTAGATCCAAAATCATTTTTACCCTTAATAATCTGTCAACTTTTAAGTGCTGAATCCCTTTTACATCTTACAAGACATACACGTGCCATACATACATGTACATGTATCTCAACTGCAATAATAATAAATCTTTATACCGTGCCCAAGCAAGCTCACGGTGCCTAACACGGGATTAATAACACATACATAACAGGGACCCTAGAAATTCAGCCAAAAAAATACATGTACATGTACAAGAGAGGATAAAAAACATGTGCAAGCAAGGTCTTGGAAAAGGAAGGTCGTTAAAGAAAGTCTAAACTGAACTCAGACTCAGCTTCTCTCACAAATACTGGAAGTTCGTTCCAGAGGTGTAAGCCTGCTACTCTGAAGGAGTTACATGTATCTCCTGCTATCTTTTTGTTAGATATCGGGATAGAAAGCCGAGTAAGATCAGAAGACGAGCAAAGTCGGTGTTCATGGGAGATTGATACACTCAGTAACTGTATAAGATCAGTCAGATACATGTATGACTCGACACATGAAAAAAAAACATGACGGCAGGCTGCTTTCATCCGTAAAATTATCAATCTTAAGTGAAAATGCCGACACTCAAACAGAGTACTTAATTTGTTCGATACATGTTGACATTCACTCAATACCCAATCCTTTTAGTGGGCATGATGGTTACCTTTTGCCTGCGATTAAAAATCAGTTTATAGGCCTCCATGTAGTGAATTATTCAGTACCAGGCTACCAGCATGGCAAACATGCTCTTTTTTCCCTATACGCATATGTACAGTATGTGATCACTGGATCTACATGTAGCTCAATTTCCAGACTAACAGACACACCTGAAATTTCACTCTTCATATGAGAGGTCAGGGTTGGACAAAGTACATGTACATGTACATGCACTGTACATGTATGCTATGAACCGGGTAGTTAAATGTTGCAGGGTTTGTTTGGTTCATACAGTACATTTCGGTACCTGTACAAGTCCCTACAGGTACATGTACATGTACATTGCAGTTTATTTTACAAAATACATGTAGAAAACCTGTACCAACTGGAGAGTTTGCAGCCTACACACACCGTGTACTAATACTTGTGTTGTTTATTATCTCGCAATGACCAAACAACCAAGGCAGGATTTATCTCAACTTGGTTCTTAGAAGATAAGCCTAGGCTACATGTACACTAATGGTCATTTATAATGTTTGATACATGTACAGTACATGTACTGGTACATGTAGCTTGTACCCAATCGTCCCATAACCCAGAGAACATCTACATACACGCATCTGTTTATTTTACTGTTTTTAGGGAGATTTCAGAAAAAAGAAGTTGAATACTTGGAGCCGTCAAGTTTAATAAAAAGCAGGCTGAGTTAACATACATGTACAAGTACATGTACATACTGGTACCACGTTTACAAAGTTTATTACACTCAACATGCTCACACTTTGCGTGAAAAGATTTTCTATCTACATCCCCCACCAAAATCAGTTTGGAACAAAAAAATCTTCTAAAATAGCTACCCTGTTGTGTTCAAAATATATACATGTAGGGGAAGAAAGTTCTGGTTTTCCGTGTTAGATGTTCTTGGCGCTGTATGGTCACATACTGTAGCAACTCAACCATGTCAAAAGTGTTCGCGCGTAGGCCTGGGCCTACATGTACATTCTGTCCAATTTTGCACATGTTTTACTGAAATGAATCTGAAAATGACACATTGTGCCAAGCATTTATATAATTTTGAACACAACTGGATACTTATTTTCAAAGATTTTGGTGTTCCTGACCAATTCTGGTGGGGTATTAAAGTAAAATCTTTCAAAATATGCAATGAGCCATCATATATGTACATGTACATGTAGGTTCCATACAGTATGGCATGTTACTTGCAGAACTCCAAGTTACATTAGATGCATTTGACCTAATAAATGAGTTTGTAACACCACCGAGTATGGGTTTTTGAATGCAGCCCTGTTATGTCAAATTGGGGTAAAGTTACATATTAACATGATTAAAGATCAATCACATTACTTTGACATACATTAGTACATGTACATGCACCGGTATGTAAAATGGTTACTGAACAGGGAATTGGTAATTGTTAACCATGTCATGACTAACATGGCAGCTTTTCCTCATATTTATAAATAAAATCGTCATTTTGGGAGTTCAGTTCCACTGTGAGAATGCTTAGGGTAAAAAACGCACCGATGAGGGTGGCAAACAAATCTATTGATCTGATGATGTCAAAATACAGCTCTTGTTTCCCAAGGCTTTCTTGACCTTGGGGCAGAACAGAGAAAAACGGGTGAAGTACATGTACATGTGTAAGTTAGATGTCATTCTAGGCAAATGACCATGGCCATCTGCCTAATATTCATTAGGACCTTACACTAGAGAGTTGGGATGGCTCAATTTTATCATACTGGTACAATCCAGTGTTGACAAACACTGTTGATGGAAAAACCCAAAGTGGCTTTCACTGTCCGACCTCTTTAAATTCACAGTTACATGCAAGTGCATGCAAGCACAGCTTTTACGTGAGCGGGTGTGTTAGCCCCAAAATAATGAAAGTTGTATAACTGCAGAGCTGTAGTGTGACGGCATCAAAACAGGCTTTATTGGATGCTCCTGAGGACTGTCGTTTTCAGTTTACCTGATATGACGGACTTCAACTCGTGCTTTTGACGTCAGTAGCAATCTTTTTTTAGTTTTTACCGACTGAACTGTTTGTTATACACTTATTTCATAAAAATGGAAACCGTGAATTACCGGTACATGAACCAATATGATTGATCTTCAACAAAAATCCACTTTCTCAAACAAATCTTCCCTCAAAATTCAAAAAGCTGTCAAAACGTATGCACCTGTACATATCTACCGGTATTTAACTCCAATGGCCTATGTGTTCAGGACTGTGTGGCTATTTCTTGAAAAAATTGGAGCTTTTATTCACCACTCTCTCATTCCCCTGATGAATGGAAAACAAAGTCTACACATCGCAATCTTACTGAGGGAATGCGCATGCAGCGTATGCAGTCGAGGTTGCAGTCAACCATCAATCCAACGCATGCGCAATGTGTAATGTGCAATGTGTTTGCATTGCTTTTGTCAGGAGAATGAGAGAGTGGTAAAAACTCACTTTTTTGCAAGAAATAGTCGTACAAGAAAAAGTTGGTCTCATCATGGAGGAAGGACACAGGAGTTTGAATTGCCCAGGCAAATAACATCTGTCCAATTAGCGCTTTCTGGCTTGTTCGATATGTCCATAGCCAGAGCGCAGCGAGTGCTTGCTGTGCACCATCTACATGTATTTCACAACCACGTAACCCCTTTATACCCTGTGATCGTCGTCGCAAGTCTTTGGCTGATTATCTGTATTCTTAAGATTTCTGTGTACTGAAGTATAGGAGATGGAATATCCATGCAGCTGTTGGTCCTTGGTAAGATCTTGTAACATCAAATATATCATACTGTACATGTAATGCTTGCGCAGTTGCTTGTGTTATGCCATATGACCTAAATGTACATATGTGCAGTTACTGCCCTTAACGAACGCCTTCTGCAGGAGTTACATATATTTTGAGAATAGATAGCCACGTTGTTGACAATATTTTGTGTTTTGTTTGAACCATTCTTAAGATGGTTGCAACTCCTTCTGTGTCCTTCCTCCATGGTCTCCTGGTCCTGAACCCATGGGTCAATGAAGTTAAATAGAGATGCATATGTTTTTACTGCTTTTTTAGGGAAGATTCGATTGACAACTACATGTAAGTGGAATTTTTTGGGGGAAGAAAATGTACCCTGATTTGACATAATGGCTGCTAGCCCTACTAGTGTGGCACAGACTCTCACTTCCGCTCCATCCTCAGCCACACATCCGTATACGCAATTTCGTGTCGGCGTACTGAAAAATTTTGGCGTAAACACTTATCATCGTGGCCGCAATTTCTTTTGCACGCAGATACGATCCTTACCCTCTCCGCTTTCTTAGTGCCATTTATTGAATGATTTTACTCACGTTGTTCTGGTATTTTCCAGTCTTTTTGCCTTCACCCATTTAATCTCAAGGGCTTGCTCTCACAGTCGCCATCTTTAAAATAAGGTCGTTGAATATATTACGTCACTTGACCCCTCATCGTCTCGACGGCTGTTCTATGTCAAGACATCTAAACTGCTGCCAAAGTTTTGGAAGAGCCCATTGGTACATGTGGTATCTTATCGCTCAGTCCGTGTATTAGATATGTCTACACATGGAACTGCCGTCGAGACGATGAGGGGTCAAGTGAAGTAATGTTCAACAGATGTGTGGCTAAGGATGGAGCGGGAGTGAGAGTCCGTGCCACATTGGTGGGACTACATGGCTGCATTCAAAAACCCATGGTCAAAAGCCTCAGACTGTCAGTCACACAGAGGAGTTCTGCAAGTATTCAGTGATAGTGGTCATTGGTCATGGTGACAAATTAATATTGTTATTGGCACTAGTATTACCTTGGGACCATGGATACAGCCTAGCGTTAGATCATGGAATTCGTTCAACATGTCAGACATGTCCAACACGTCCAAGCATTTACATGTACTTACACATTTCCTTCCATGATTCAGTCAGTTCATGCAAAGAACATGTAGGGCCTCCAGCTGCTGTAAACACTGGTGTTGAAGACGTCTCTGCGAGTCCAGGAGCGTGTAATCAACTCAGCATGAGGTAGCCTAGGCCTACATGTACATGTACATCGTAAACTGACGTACGCGCAGACTCGAGTACTCTAGGCCTATACCACGTATACAGATAAACACACTTCGTGCATTTCAGGCGCAAACAATGTCAAACAATTTCAGTGCCACCAAAATATGCCAGCTATAGTGACAAATGACATAGCGAAGCATGCGAAATCAAATCTATTCTAAAGCTGAAAATTTACGCGATTCTCAATGCAATCTTTGACACCGGAGAGAAAAGAAATTCTGACTGAACAGCTGTCCTGTCGGCGGCCGGCGCGAGATCCAACATTTCTTTTGATATTATTTAAACCTCGGTTTCATCACCAGCTGTGGCGCGCCAAAAGAATTCAGAGATCATTTTGCTCACGAAGTCGAGATACTCGGAATCTGTGCAGCCCACTGTTCATCTAGAATGCACATGTACTCTTAAATTGTATACTGCAAGGTAAGGGGGTTTCGTTTTCTTTTTGTAAAGGAAAATGTTGGAAAATAGTCAGGAAAGCTAAACAGAGTTCGAGGTGTATAGAAGCCAATTTTCAAAAATGGCTCCCATGTCGATAAGCAACTGGTAAACGGCGCGAATTGTTTGAGAGCTTCGTTACGTGACGACGGGGACCACCGACACATTAATTAAAATAATGCCCCGGTCCAGGTCCTTACCCGGGGAAAAAGTAATTTCTTTTCTTGTCCATTCTCATCAACCCAATGGAATTATCTGTGATAGTAGCATTTCTAAAATGCTAACGATTTCATTTCCTTTACTTCATTAAAAAAATGACACAGTTTGTCTAGGGGAGCAATTTACCAACAGTGTTACCCTGCTCTGCACATGGCGTCACCGCGGTAGTCCGAGTCTCGCCCGTTCTCAGTATTCCATCCACTTGCAACTGAGCACATAGACTAAATTACTAGGAAGTGCTCTCCCCTTGAAAACTTTTTTAACAGATATGAAAGCTAAACAGGAGAAAATCACCTATTTGCTTGAAAACACCTCGGAATTGACCCCTTTAAATAGAGTTCTGCTGCAGAGTTTTGCCTCCCCCCTGGTTAAAAAAAAACTATTATAAAAGACGCCGGCATTACGTGAGCAGCCCTGCATCGCAATGAATATCAATTTGTTTTCTGAAAAACAAATGAAATTCTTGTCTGGTCACTAATCTTTCAATTTCTTTTCAATTTTTAATTATTCCCACAAAAGAAAATCACCCCCCAAAAAGTGATTCTTCCGGAAGTCTGATTGCATCCATTTTTCAAGTGGCAACCCTCAACTTTCTCAGGCACTTAGGACCATTTTTCAACCGTATTTTTTAGCCATTCTGCCCTTATATGAAAGCTCAAAGACCCAGGGAGTTGATCCTGGCAAGGATTTACACAATCTCACCATTTTGGGGGCCAAAGATTTCCTTGTTCAAAAGATACTGGGGGGGGGGCACTTTTAATGCTAATGAGCTGGCCAGAAATTCTCACTTGAATGAGTGGCCTGCACCCTTACATGTTCTTCCCGACCTGCCCAAAACTCGAGAGGGCGATATATAAAACGAGCTGCCGGTTATGCCCAGCATATGTCATGTGACTGACAAGTGAGCACTGAAATGAGGTTGTCTCAGTGCGCCACAATGGGGGTCACAAAGGGGCCTAGGGGTGCACCCTCGTAATTAGGCCAGAAATATGTCCGCCAAGCTCATTAATAAAAGTTATACACTCAAAATATTATATATTAGAGGGTCCTGAGAGCCATGGAACTGAGGAATTGAAGAAATATGAGACTGGACCTGAGTGCCGGACTCGGGGCTTCCAATTCTGAGCAATTTATGCAATCGAGTTTGAAAGTGGCACCATTTGAGCCATTTTGCCGAGGGAGGGTTTTTCAAAATGGCTACTTTTCTGGAGAGGGACATTTTCTACCTTTTAGGGGTGGTCTGCTTCTGGTGAAAATNTGGTGCACCCCTAGGCCGGGAAATTTGGGGTAAAACGAACACCCGTGCAACAGAGTACGGACTCGGCACTTCGAGGGACCACTTTATCTCTGCGTTTGACATTGAACCGACCAGCGTCCCCTCAACACATCCCATGGCCTCTTGTGTAGTGCAACGAGTCACAAATTTTAGTGGCTCAATTCGAGCCAAGTCAGGTAACGTTGTGACTCAAGTCAGTCGAGTCACCGTCACTCGAGGCAAGTCAAGTACGTAACTCGAGTTGATTCGAGTCGGAAAGTATTTGAACACAATACGAGAAATTATAGGTTTTCCCGGCCGAATTTATCATCTTCGCACACGAATTAGCCACAGTTTCATTGAAATTAGCCCAAAATAGAGTGAAGATCTAGATCACCATTTAAAGATCATTTGGCTTCCTTCTAACTTGAGCATGCAATGTTGTTATTCAAAAAGTGAAGGGTCAGCATTCTATTTGGAAAGCACACACAAAAAACAAATTTTCCCAAGGCACGCCCGCGGTATGTGTTTTGGCGTTCAATTTCGTGAATCGGCAAGCATGTGTGAGATTCGCGCAATTTTATTCATTGAGCGTTAAATATTTTAATTCTTTTTGGGGGTGGGGGCTAATTTATGAAAATATCTCATGAAAAGAAACGTTTGTTTACTTATTTACTAATTCATATTTTGTTTCTGTTTGGATTTGTATGAAAAGAATGAATAACAGCGAAGTCAAATTTAATCACACAAAGGGGCAAAGTGGTTACATGTCCATAAAGAATGAGAAAACAAGAATGAAACATTAAAGCAAAACATTACTTTAAAAAGGTGACCAAAAAAGAAAAAGAAAAGAAAAGCCATAGTTTAAGAGATTCCGAAAAATCTTAGTTTACATGCACACTTACGGAGAGAGTATGTTTCTTGGATATAAATACAGAAATTACAAATCAATAAACTGCATCTAAAGGATTTCGATTTCAGCATCCGTGAAGAAGGTCCAGGGAGAGTGTCATTAAATTTCTACATTTTGATTAAACACAAGTAAATTTTAACTGTGTTGAATAACTCTTCATAAATACAGTCAAAAGATTAAAATGGTTATATAATACCCTACAACGCTCTTTACTCGTAAATGTTGATAGGCGACCGTCTCTATCTGTTTTTTAAATCACATGCACCAATCTGGAGAAAACTCTACAAGACGTTGTTTATTAGTGTAAGTAACCAAGCACTATTTACATGGGCACTATCCATTGAAAGTTATGAAAGAATATTTTTTACAATAAATCTATACTGGCATGTGAAACACCCCCCAGCTGGAACTTTTTAATGATATTAACTGTGTCACGAAAAAAGGCGAGTTTGTCATATTTCAAGTATTATTATTAAGTATTTCTTGTAATGAAACCAAGAATTTTCCCAAAGCGCCAAAAGTAAGGCAGTAAAGTCTTACACTTCAAAAAGCTTTGTAAATGTAATTGTATGAGACGTTATGCATTCCTTGCATCATTTTCACAAGTGTGTAAAACATACTTGTTTTTTCTTACCCCTCCTTCTTCCCGAAAAATACTTAAAATACGCAAGAAAATGTACACATGAAGGAAAGGAAACTGCAGTATATCCGGTTCATAAGTATGACGTCACTTCAGTTTAAACCACGCTCACTACACATGCACTGGACATAGAGTTAGATGTATTGATCGTTGTTTCCTTTGAACCGTAGAACAGGAAGTTAACGAGCAACTGCAGCGATCGTCCAATGGTAGCCTGGAAATCGTGGCGTGTCCGCCTTTGTGACGAAGTCACTTACAAATGGGATACCGGTCGCGTTCACACATCGTGACAAAATCATGTAGACCTTTTTAAATTAAAGGGTGGAACACTGATTGCTTTTCTTGTGAAAGTTTTCACAAGTGAGGAAAACCATTATGGACTTGGGACGATGCTGTCAGATGCATCCTCCACGTACAGTGCTGTGCGGCAAATCTTTCTGATGTTCAAGAACATTTTACAGAAAGGTTGAATAATGGCAATGCAATTTTAGGTCGGGCAGTCGAATATCCAGTTCTTAAACTGAATGTCTCTTTGAGCTCTTTATTTGATACATTTCACGAGAGTTCCTAATAGTACTTTGGCGGCATTCAAGCTGTGTAAACTGATATTATCAAAAATAAGCTAGTATAAGATATCGGTATAATGATTATGCTTGCTGTCTCATTTACCAAGCACAGGACCCCATATGTTAAAGATGAAAATGGCATTGCGGACTCTTTTTAACTGTTCAAGTTGCTATTTTAAATCTATTTATAGTTATGTGAGAAAATATTTATTATTAAAGAATACTGTGTACAACCGCCTGGTATTTTTTCATAAAGTCAGCTACAACAACAACCGATATTACCCCAGCTATCTTACACACTACACTCGACCGCCACTGGCTGGCAACACGGAAGTAAGTCTCACCATAAGAAAGATCGGCTGCTGCGACCATCACCATGTATACACCCATCATGAAATCCGAAACTGCCAGATTCATAACCATAAACGAATGAGTCTTCTTGCATCTATCACCTGTGCCTTTCAACCTCCAAATGATGGCCACTACATTACCCAAGAGGGCGCTCAAGCCCAATACCCACATTGCAACACGCAACAGGTTAGTCTGCAAGAGACTTCCACACAGATTTAGAGGAGGTTGTAACTCGTGTAATGCATCCCTTTTCCACCGAGAAATGTGCCAGCACGACAAAATCACAACATAAACGGTAGTCATCGACATACCTACCGAGAAAAACAGAAGTGAAATAAAATGGTCTGAAGTGCTGAAAACGCTTACATTCTAACAACCGCGAGGAAACTACTGAAGAAACATTGCATGTGGGTCGTGGGCTATATAAAAAAAGATGAAGGAACAGATAATAATTATGATGTCCTGAAAACGTATCAGAGGCCGAGAATCTTGAGAAAAGAAATACTTTTACAATTCGAGGACTGTACGCGCTCACTCTTATGGAGGCTGAAACATTTTACTCACACAGTTCTGAGAGACACCAAAGTGTTGTATGCTCCTTCTTCAACCTTGGTAAATTTGTCATTTTCCAATTGAGCGATGACTACACTGAAGATAAGAGCATGAGAAAACAATTTGAAAATTGTCATTTGACAATAATAGTGTATTTTGCTTTGTTTCGCCTTTTGTTTGGGAAATAAAACTTTCAGAAGTGTATGATAATTTTGAGTCACTAATTCATCAATTTGAAATTCTCGAATACGCCTAATAATGGGGGAAAACCATATTTTCAATCAGGACTATTAGTTAACTTCAGGATATCTTCAGAGTATACGAAGCAAAATCATGAGATTTCATTCCAAGAATTCTTTCACTCAACTTTTACTGAAAATCTGTCCACCACAAGCACATTATTGGATTTTGCGAAAGCAAACACAAACGTGAATTTGTGACGTCAGATCAAAATATTCGCTCGACGATTTCGCAAAAGTCAAACACTTTTCAGCTCAAGCGAAACTTCTTGATTCGTACTGCAACATGTAGCCGAAGACTACAAATTACTACTTCCAATTTAGCGATGGAATCCATTAACGTATCTTGTCGAAGAACATTTCTCTAATAAACTTCAATTTATACTTTGGATTTTAAAATTGCCCTGTTTTAATCTCGCAAAAGCATGTTGAGAATCATAGTTTTATGTAAAAATGAACTCTGAAATATGTTTTTGCTTACAGTGTTTGGAGATCTGTTAGACCTACGAAAGCATCCTCCGAAATAGATATCATGGAAAGATTTATCATCAACCTGTTGGGGGATACGAGTAATAGCTGCAGGTATAATCACAAAATATAATGTTTCTCATAACAACTGTCAATTTATCCCCTTGTTCTTCTCAGGTTTCCTCGCTTCAGTACAATTATTCTGAATTTAGAACAGCAATGGAGGAACTGGTAGGAACCTGCACGCATTTTCCCGGTATCATGCCAGAAACAGACCATTGCAATAATATAATGTCCTTTTAAAAATGTACTTGAAGTGTTGCTTACAATGTTTTGAGTTGCCCCAATTCCTTGAAGACAGGTAAATCAATGGATGTGATGCTGTTGTTAGAAATCTCTCTGTAAATGCACATCAAATTAGACATTGAATTATTATTACATTCACCAACGGTATGATGACGGGGATAAGAGAGACGGAAGTTTGGCTGCATGGTGGTTAATAAATGGTGGTTATATTCAGTATTTAGCTGAGCGATTAAAACTTCGTAAATGATAAATATTTTAACGAGTTGTTTCCCATCTTCATTGATGCCAGAGTAGTGATCATGAAATGACATTATGCATACAAATGAAGAAAAAGGTCTTCGAAATAAGAACGCCGTTATTCAAAAGACACTGACGAACCCTACAGTCATAAATCGATACTTGCCCCTAGACACGGGTGGCAAACGATCTCATGACCCCGAAAATTAAAATCTCTTCGTTTAACAAATCAACCAACTTGGTAAATATTGTTGCTGAAAGTTGTACACTTGCTAAGCCTGCACTGTTGGAAATGTCATTTCCTTTAGCTTTAAGTGTCCATGCAATGAAGATTTCTCTTAAACATACTTTTTGTGCATCTTCATACAATCTTCCAATGTATGAAAATGCTGACGTCATTATGGGACTAAGATTTCAAACATTTATCAAAACATTTCTGGACACCTGAGGGCGATATTACCGTGCTGTAAATCAGGAAAGACACTAATCACTTTCCATGTTTTTTCTGTTTACATTGTGAACCCAAACTTTATTTGAAGCCATTTTGAGAAAAGGTTTCTCGTTGACTTACAGGCATGTACTCAAAGAATAATAACACACCAAAGAGAAGAAATTTAGTGCAGAAAAATATAAATTCCAACTGTTAAGTTCACAAATCAGTGGAACTTTCCCAACAGCCCTCAAGGCACGTAACGAAACATGCCCTTGGTGGCTGCCAGACAAGCAATCAATCAAAGCTCGGGTTGCTCCGCGCTGAAGGAAACTTCGCGCGCTTTCGGCCTCTTTTTCCCTCTGTACGGCTAATTCACTGTTGTTTATGTGCATTGCAATAAGTAAGCATCAATGCTTCTCTCAGAAATGTTTTCAGAAAGTGAATTCTGGATTCACAGTTATTAAAGGGCAGCCGCAATGATTTTTTTCTTGAACAAAATTTTCAGCCACTTCATACTCTTCTTCAGAATCTCACAAGTTGTTTCACACTCCCATCTGGTAAAATATAGTAAAATGTGCTCTTGTTTAAACACTTAGAATTAGCTACGCTTTCCTGGCCAACTGAGGGCGATGTTGCTGTGATGTCATCCATGGAAGACAAAGTTCATTGCACAGATTTCTCTATTAAACAAAGAAGAAATCTGGTCTTGAAATTTGGTGGCTTAGCAATACCACGTTAATTTCCCAAATACACTCTGTTCACGTATAGAACAAATTAAGCAAATAAAATTCGTTTTCGTCAGTGCACATTTTTTCCCGCTTTATCGTTCAGTTTCATTTCCGTCTTTCCACTTTGTTTACGACCATTCAAAACTAAACGATTACCAGTCTTTGGTGTGACCTCTGTTGTCTTTTTGTTTACAATAGCTGCAGTCATTATTGAAACTAATCGATTTGCGTAGGATCTTTTACCTGCGCGTGATTTTCTCTTTTGTTTAAAGTAAATCTATTTCGTATTCTAAGCGTTCAGTTTAGGACTAATGGAGAAGTATATGCCGACGGTCTTTTACTGCAAGTCATTCTTGTTCCATAATAATTGGCTCGATGATTGTGAATGATCCACCGTTAAACCGTTTTTTTCCTTGGAAAATCAGATTTGTACAGGATTCAAAAAGGGCTTTTAATGGAACCAGAGGAAGGACCCATTAGCATTTTCGGTGTTTCACGTACATTCACATCAAGTGAACAAAAAGTAAGTAAAATAATGTATGAAAACGGGGCTTTAATTAATACAGGTGCACATGTCATCTTTGGTCTGTATATTTCCATTAAACAAACGATCGTTTTTTTGGCATCAATGCATCAGAGCGCCCATCCCATCTTCCAAGGTGGAACGTCTGTACAAATACAAAGGTAAAAGTCACTCCTTGTGATCTATATTTACTGAGTAAATAGCAGCAGAAAACCATTCGGCAGTGGTACCTACTCCCGGAAAAGTAACACACCTTGCGTTATATCCTGCAAGAAACGAGACCAAGGGGTACCCCAACATGTCCAATCGCTATACACACTATAGACTATTGTTACCTAACACATCCCCCCATTTGTCTGAAAAGAATTCCTCAGATTGCAGTGAAACACTGACCAACACAAAGCAGGGGGAGGGCTTCTCCGTCTCATGTCTTGCTTCATATGCCTTGCGTCGGCATCTTTACAAGTGTGTGGAGAAAACTACACATCATGAAATCAAAACAGAATAAAGACCGGTGGTTACAATGAACCTGGCACTAAATTAATTTCAGCATGAGCAGTTAATGAGTTTGATATCGATTTGCTTTGGTTATGAGGAAGTTGTGCGTTTTCTTACCCAATATTAGAGAAGATTTTCGTCAGTGCACAGGTATCGGCCGCTGATTCCACTGTGACACCAAGCTCCACACAGCTCGCAAATGAAAAGCAACGCCGCACAAAGCAAAGCACGTGCTAAATGGTAAGGCTATAGACAAATTTAAGCTGGCTGCTGTCACGTGACTTCACCTCCAAACATTTCCGCGCGACTCATTCTCAACGGATTTTGGTGGTATATGTCATTACAAGTTCGGCCCATCAGTCAGAGTATAACCGTAAATCAGCAACCGTGCTCCGATCATAGAACACCTGTACTACGCTCGTCATCTAGCTTCAATTTTCAGACCGTGATTAAGATACAATTATGAACTCTCATTTCCGATCATCTGTGTGTACGAGTTGGCATTGGTCGTACGGATCTAAGTCATAAATACAGGTTGTAAGTTGTACGGATGACGTAACTCATGGGTGTAAGGTATACAAGAGTTTTATTGTGTCACCTAATGGCGAAAAGGGGTGTCCAGTTATTTCTCACCTTTTTACCAATTGGAATGGAATACCTTCAATTGCAATGCAATGCAATGCTTGGAATGCCTCCAGTTGATCGGTTTTTTCTAGGCCTACTTGTTCTTTCGTAAACATGGCTTCAATACAATTACCACCCAACACGTTGTGCATAGAACAGAAAACATTCCCCTATGTTACATCTTACCAATCTATTTCTTTTCTTAAGCTCTGTATTGAATTACCAGAAACGGCTGTAATACTTTGATCGATTACTTCCATTGCAATGTATTTTTTAAAGGAGGAAAAATGTTTTAATAAATTTTATGCAAACTGTCTGAGGAAAAAGTATTTGTTCTATCCAGGGATATGAAACTTCTAAAAGTACGAATTCCAAATACAAGGGAGGACTTAATATCTGTAACAGCTATAAAAATGATATCTTTTCCTCAGATGGCACCAAATACATACACTGTACCATTCTGGGTAATGTTGACCCGCAAATGTGCACTTAACAGCATTTTAAACCATTGGGCGTCGCGAAGGGGATGGCAAGGGCCCCCTGGGAAAAATTTTAATGATTATAGCAAAGAAGCAGATGTTTTACTGTAAACGTAAACTAGACGAGATGTGTTCTGCAATGTTTGTGTGATTTCCACTTTTGCTGGTGTGCCCGCCGTTTTGCAATCATCTTACTGCTTCGGACATCCCTGATCCGTGAAAGTAGGAAACAACGTCCAATATAGCTGTTCATTGTTTAGGCCAATGTGATTTAACAAATTTTCCTTGGGGCCGTCATTCCATTGTTTGCCTATTCATTTTGAAAGTGTATCAAATGAGGTTTTGGTAGGGGGAGGATCCTAATGGTAAAACGTTGTTGAGACTTGATGTATTCCAATGTTGCAGTTAGTCACAATAAGATACAGCGCTCCAGTTACACACTTTAAAACATCATTAACGAACTGTTATTGCTAAGCTTATAATTCTATTTGACGCTTTGACAAGGAAATCTAACATTCTGCAGTGTATTATACACAGTTTTACAGCTGTGTTGCATGATCTTTTCATCGATGAAATTAAAAGATTAAAAGGTGGGTAACTACAATGGTTAGCCTATACAATACCCTAAAACGTTCTTTATAGATAGACGACTGTCTCTATCTGCTTTTTGAATCACATGCCACAATCTCCAAAAAACTGTGCAATATACATATAGGCCTACCTTGTTCTTAGCGTAAGTGGACAAAACACTCATTACACGTAGACGTTTCGTAATGCAAGAATTATGTTACAGTTAATCTATTGGCACATGAAACACCCTCAGCTAGAACTTTCTATATCATATTTACTATGACAGGAAAAAGGGGAAGTTTGTGAAATATCAAGTAGCCTATTATGAACAAGATTAAAATGACATAAGGGAATCTTCTACAGGATACTTTTCTCGTTAGCGAAGCACTTTGTCCCGTTACAATTACATGCAAAATGTTGAAAAAAAGTTTTATTACCCTATATTAAGAATGAGTTCTGCAACCGATGGTTAATTTTTCATTAGTCTATTGTAAGAAGTAATTTTCAAATAGGTTTTTCTACGTATATATGTATATTTAAATAGCAGGACCATTACAGCAAGCCCTTTATAATTACACTTAGTCACAAATAAGGCCAGTGTCGATTATCAAAGTGCAGTACTGTGATTTTGTTAAGGTATATCATTTTTCAGAATATGCAAAAGGTTTAAGACAACAAAGTCAAAGCTTTAAATCAACATTTCAAGTGATGTGATGGTGTCTGGAAAGATTTCTCATCGTTTGAAGATAATCTTTCTAACGTGGAAAGAATAAATTTGATTTTAAAACTTTTTTTAATCTGTCATATATGCATATAACAATTACGCTATAACAGATATTCCAATTTCAGAACTGAACATTTTTACTTCGCGCTACGTTAAAACGTTTATGACTAATAAAATAAATGCCAACATAATTCCTATTTCAGCCTCAACATGTGTACCTCTAGCCCCGAGAAAAAGTCGACATTTCAGTAATTTCATTGCGATTGTTGTAAATTTCCACTGCGCTCATGCATTGGATATTACGGATTCCGGTGTAAAAAACAGGTGTCCAATTTTTGATGAGACAGAGCCGTCCCTTTAGCATATATCATTAATACGAAGTGACCATTTCATCACATCTTCAAAACACCTTAAAAATTTCAATTCTGATTCAAATTTTGCAGAAAGAATACAATGTATAAATTGTATGTTTGTTTGTGGATTTTCAACACTTTTATAAAATTGCTTTTATGTGCTTTTGTATTTGAACCCTCGATCTATGTACCTTTTTTTCAGAAGCGTTTACCTTACGACAACTATTTTTCATTTCAAGTCTGACATTGAAATATCTAATGTTTCAACTGAGCGCGCCTTTGAGTTCTTTTTGTCGGACTTGTCTTGAAAGTAAGAATTACTGTTGCCCGTATTTGACGGCATACAAGCTGTGTAAATCGTGTACAGGTACGGGTTAAGTGAGGAGTTGATAGGTAGGATAAATACAACAATCCATCCGTACATATCGGCCCCAATTTCAATCGTGTTTGTCTGAGAGAGAATGCCCATGATTATCACCGGCATCCAGCAGGTGAAATCTGTGCCCACAATTAACGCCATCTTGACCGCCATTTTGATTTCGCGGTTTCGGTGGGAGCTCTTTCTGACCATCTTACTCGTACGTCTGACGCTGACAAAAATGGCGACGTAACAAGAAAGGACAACCAAGAAGCAGACCAGATTGACGCCAAGAAACACAACCACAGACAAAATCCAGGCCGGTTTCTTGTCAGTACCAACACTGAGAGTAAGTTGCTGGCTTCCCAGAGGATTTGGGATGTCTTCAGATTTGATGTTGTCTTGCCCCGTCGACTTGGTAGTGAGAGGCAGCCCTATACAGACATCAGAGAGTCCATACAAATCAGAATCGGGCCCGACCGAGAAAGTAGGAACGACGCTCAAGCAAATAGCCACAAGCCACAGCAGGCCTACCACTATTTTAGTTGACCTTTCCCGGAGGTGAATGCGACTGAATGGCAACACTATGCACAAGAAACAATCGATGCTGATGAGCGTCACAAAGAACACTGACGCCTCACTGGACATGACCGATATTACCCCAGCTATCTTACACACTACACTCGACCGCCACTGGCTGGCAACACGGAAGTAAGTCTCGCCATAAGAAAGATCGGCTGCTGCGACCATCACCATGTATACACCCATCATGAAATCCGAAACTGCCAGATTCATAACCATAAACGAATGTGTCTTCTTGCATCTATCACCAGTGCCTTTCAACCTCCAAATGATGGCCACTACGTTACCCAAGAGGGCGCTCAAGCCCAATACCCACATTGCAACACGCAACAGGTTAGTCTGCAAGAGACTTCCGCAGAGGTTTAGAGGTGGTTGTAACTCGGTAGTAATGCAGTCTTCATTGACTGAGAAATGTTCTAGCACGGCAAAATCACAACATAAACGGTAGTCATCGACATACCTACCAGGAAAAGAGAAGTCAAACAAAATGGTCTTAATCTGTTGAAAACGCTTTCATTCAAACAACCAGAAAACAACTGCATTAAGAAATACCACTGCGACAGTGCACTGGAGCACAAATGCTGCAAACACACATCTAAGATCGCGAATCTTAGGGGAAGAATCATTTTCTTACAACTCTATAATGTATCACTGAAAGAAAAAATAACTTTGCATTTACTCACACAATTCTGAGGGACTCCAGATTCTTAAATGCTTCTTCCTGAACCTCGATAAACTTGCCGTCCAGTTGAGCAATAATCACACTGAACAGAAGAACATATAAGAAAACAACTTGGGAATCATTGTCTTATGTAAATATATTTTGCTTCATTCCTTTTTTTCCTTCGGAAATAAACCTTTCAGAGGCTGTTGGACAACTTCGATTCATCTTTTTGGGTCCACCAAGTCTGTTCTGATTTTCTATTTTTGAATGCACCTTGCAATGAACCGGACCAGTTCATTAATTTAATGGAAACTGTTTTCGGAGTCTTCAAAGTAAAATCGGTCGATATCACATTTACAAGCTGTTCCCTTTACTTCACTGAAAACCACTAAGAGTACAGAAAGACCTACAGTCCCAAATGACATAAATCAGGTTATTTCAATATTCAATACATGTATCTTGTATTTCCACAGCAACTCGGCCACATGATACTTTTCTTACTCTAATAAGCAATCAAACCCATCAAGAGGTCTTGTTATTAAGTTTGATATTTTGGATTTTATAATTACTTTTCCACAGATGCCACTATTTTAATCCTGTAAATGCATGTCAAGATTCATCGCTAAGACACATTGAACTCTAGATGATACCGTTAGCTTACAGTGTTTGGAGATTCGATAGACCTTCGAAAGCATCCTCCGAAATAGACGTGATGGAGACATTTATTATCAACCTGTTGGGAGATACGTATTATCATTTTCTGCTTCACCAACAGTTTTCAGTTTATTTCCTTAGGGTCGGGTGTAACATTGCTGAAGCTTGGGTAGTCAATTATTAATTTAACGCATGCGGTTGTTGACAAAACAAAGTGGTTCTTTGATGAAACATCAGTTGTGTGAGTGTAGGAGTTGCACTTTGGGCTACATATTATGGAGCAAGACGATAACCCCCTCATAAAGTAAAGAAGAGCAAGGTGGCTACGGTTGATTACTGGGTTCCCACTTCGATGTTCGATTACTCTGAATGAGCTGTTTCATGCCAGAAAAATAATGACCTCACAAAAATGTACTGGAAATTCTACTTACAATGTTTCTAGTCGCCCCAATTCTTTGAAGACAGGTAACTCAATGGATGTGATGTTGTTGTTGGAAATCTCTCTGTAAATGCACATGAGCCAGGATATTCAATAAATACTGTTTTCAACATTTACTTTCTTTGCCAAGTACAAGGATAACACATGGGTGAAATTCTAACAACAATGGATGCAGCATTGAAATAGTTATCTTTACTTTTTCATCATGAGCGTACACAAGCCTATGTTGCATGCATTAAGATGTGCATGTGTGGCACACTTAACCATTATGATCTTCACAACTAAAATCTCTTCATTTAACAAATTACCAGCTTGGTTAAAAGTTGCAAGTTCCCCACTAGCTAAGCCTGCAGTGTTGCAACTGTGTTTTTTTGCTTGAAGGGTCCATTCCACGAATATTTCTTTGACACACTTTGTGGACATCTTCACGACCTTCTCTAATAAATGAAAACTTGTTGGAAACTTTGACATCCATTTGGGGTTAAGTGTTTTAAAAATTTTAAAGCTTTTCTATACTGTTGCTCTAATGTAGGGAAACCACCATTCGGTGTCTATGTTTTCTGTTCAAATTGTGAACTGTTTTTGAGAAAAGATTTCTCGTTGGCTTAGAGCCATATACCTTCACAACAATAACTCACCAGAGGAGAAGGAATTTTGGGGGGAAAAAAGCAAAATATCAAATATTCTTGCAGTTTTATGGTGCTCAAATCAGTGCATTGATTGTTTCTCCCTTGGATGACATCATAGTTTTACTCATGAATATGGAAGATTTTAGTAGCATGAAAACCCCCAAAGTACCACAGCACCTTTTAAAATAACAAGGCAAGATTGGGGTTAATTGAAACACAAACATGGCTTCCGATGCAGTAAAATAACTACATTGCAAGAAGCTGATCAGGTACTTATATTTGTCTGCTGAAGCTTCAGCAGTCTTAATTTTCAGCACTTACAAAAAGGTGATGTTCAGCCCAGAAAAAGCCCCTTCTTCAATCCGCTGTATGTGATTACCTGAAAGGGATCTGAAATGATAGCATAATATGTGAGATGAAGAAGAACTACTTTGAAAACTCTTTGACAGAAAACTGGAAAACTTTGTGTATCTCTGCCGTGTGTGATCTTTTATTTTTTGCACACTGGTAGATACATGCATGTATATATGAAGCAATGTTATCAATTTGCATCCGTTTAGAAATCAAACACAAGTTGAAGGATGTGAGTAAAATTGTCAGAGTGTCACGAGAAGAACAAAAACGAATTCATTGCTCTTCTCTGCATGACAAGTAAACTATTAGCAAGGAACACTGCAATCTGGGTGGGCAAGCAAACAGAAGGAATAAGTCTACTCACAATGCCTTGAGGTAGGAAAGACCCTTGAAACCTCCCAGTTGAAGTGTATGGATGTCACCGTGAGTAAGTTCACTGCGAGAAGGCCAAAAAAACAGATGCGTTTTGTTACCAAGGTAATGTTCGGATACAAAAAGACGCAGACTACTTTTTAGACCTCTCTAAGAAAACAAAATACCCAGTGGGGAGCACCTTTAGAGTTTGGGGAGAAGTAACTATTTTCTGTTTCTTCTTCTATTCTTAACTGTAACTAACACGTTCAAGACAAAAAAAATCACTCAGAGTAGGGAAGAAAATGCCCGCTTTGACTATGTACACGTTTCACCTCAATGCCCTTTTTATGAACAGTCCACCATTGTTTCTTTCTTCAAAGTGCTACACCTTTATTGCATGTTTCTTCAAGTGCAAAATGTGGACACATTTTGCTTCCCTTAGCCCATAAGCTCCGAATCCACTAATAATATTTGACACACCCTGGGAGTGGGGGTTAAATTTCAAAAATCTTGGTTTTACTTAAAACAATGAACCCCTCAATCTTTTTTCAATAGTCCATAAATCTTACAGAGCTCGTGTCCTTTTGGCTATACTGTGGATTATATCCGGAGTCCAGCCTTCTCGGCATCGAACATGGAGATCATCGTTGACATATTTACATTGACAGCCACTGGGACACCGCTTCTCATCTGCAAAGATAAGCGCAAATACTCAAATGGACAAACAGGTATAGTTTTTCTAGACACTGTATCGTGGGCAGTATAGTAATGGCTGACAACCACTTCAAAGTAACGGAGTACAACTACTGGCTCCGTACCGTTCACTGTTGACTAGCAGAAAGCATTCACGGGCCACGATTCATACCTACACAATCATTCGAAGTGAATAAACGGCAGATGATCGACTGGGAGCAGCCTACACTCTCCTGATGTAGTAAAGCTTTCGGTAGTGCAAAAATACAAATGGTCATCGGGGCTTTCCAACGTGCGTCAACCAACGCAGTGTTGGCCGATCAGCCGGGTGTTGGCCCCCAAGGGAACCACGTCCCCCTCTACCTCACGCACGCTTCATTTCAAGCAACTAACACACTTCATTGCAAGCAACTAACTAGCACAATCCAGCAACTATGAACAAGTGCCGGCGATCACGTTGCACTGATCATCTGTAAATATAGCCATGAAAAATGATACGCGACTACAGCAATTGCACAGATTTATTGGTGCGTTTTTAATTTTGAAGCGCGCGCATTTGGCACGACAAACCATCTTGTTGGTGGATGATAATATACTCTAGCAGTGTATACCACCTGCATGCGAGTGAGGCGCAAAAGCAGTAACTTACTCCCGATTACCGGTATGAAGAGCGTTGTTGCGTTACTCTGCATTTTAATATGAGGTCTGGAGAGGCTGGGTCAAGGTACCCATCTGAAGAACCAAAATTGACTGATAATTTTAAGGGCCTCGGCATCCCCATCAGTGGAATGTCCCACGGTCTAAAGACGGCGACTCTTACCACATCTTTCCTCGTCATCTCCGTCGTCACAGTCAGTGACTCCGTCGCATACTGCTTCCCAGTCAATACATTTAGCTGATGCATAGCACGCGTAAAAGCCAGGACAGTGTACATTGGCTGAGGGAAATAGAGGGAAAAACAGAAGAAAAGTAACAAAATACATTCCTTCATGTTCTGAACATAGCACCATGCACGGGCCCTTATTTGCCTTTGCGTAATTTGTCTTGACATACTCACAAATTTCCGAACAGAGACGACATTGGCAATGAAGACTTAATCATACCGAGTCCACACTTATTTGTTGCTCTTCCCGCAGCAATTAAAAACTGGGTTTTCTTCCTGAGCGCTTGTGTGGACATTTTCCAACCCTTTGAGTTTAATTACAGTCATCGAGACACATGTACTTTACTGTCATACGAGGGACGCTACTTTTGGAGAAGTCCCTGCCATTCTATAATAAATTGCCACTCACAAGGCCCTCGAAAATGTTGCATATTCAACGATACGCAAAGGCTTGACTTTTGACATTTGCAATTATAAAAACCCTGCGTAGAGGCACTGACATCAGTAGCGTACGCCGATTAATGCTAATTGGTACAAACAAATTAACGCCCAACTGCAATCACCACCCATCTAATCCTATTAATCAGTCAAATCTTTCAGATGTCAAAGTATTTCAACTTACTGCAGCCGAGTTCATCTCGCGAGTTGGAGCAGTCCACAAAACCATCACACCTTGCCCTCGGAATCAAACACGACCCGTCTCGGCATTCGAAAAGGCTAGCGTTAAGCAGTTTACAAGATACAACTTCTGCAAACAAAAAACAGAAGCAACGGTTGCACATGTCTTTAATATAGCGAAGAACATGCATTAAATCCGCCCATCGCCCAAATTTTAAAAAATCGCTTCCACTGAGTTCTTGGATGAAAAGATGGAGATATGATATTGCAATTTGTTTTTAAGAGAAACTCTACATCGAATCTAACTGTGTATCTTTTACAATGGGCACAAATAGAACTCATAAACCTTTCTAATTTTTAAAAAACTTTTCGACATTTTAGTTTCTTAATAAATTCGTTGAAACGTCTCCAACCTTCGATATGATCTGTCGGTTAATGTTTGCTTCTTTGAAGTAGTAGCTCAGTTTTCGTACGTGAACATGCATGTCGACAATTCCACATCAAGAAATTGGATCTGCGTATTTTTATATACACTGAAACTTTTTACCCTGAATTTGTTTTTACTTCTTCAGTGGGAAACAAAAGCAATTCACCAAACAGTCTTTGAAAATTCAAGAAATTCAAAGTACATGTAATATTACATGCCGAATCATTTGTTACTCAAATGTGTTCCACTCAATCCCTACTTAACACAGTGACCCAATCCACTGAGGGCCCACCTAATCCACCGGTGATCATCCGTTTCGTTGGTTATCTAGCAGTCTTACGCCTACAAGCATTTAAGATCACGTAATATTTCTACCTATTAGTGATTCTTCACAGTCGCTTTCTGACGATTCGTCTTCTTTACACCAATCTGGTTCTGTAAAGGATAAAGGGATCGACTTTCTGAGAATTAATGTGGACTGCAAGTCCCCCAACACTGTGGTTTGGGGGTGCAAGAAAAAGCCACGCTTAAACCAGAAAATACACTGTGTCAGGAAATCTGGAGACACAAATGTGATTTACTCTAGGCTACACAAGGAGAAAAAAAAATCACTCTTCCCAATGGTTTAGCTAAGGAGGGGGGTGCACCCCCCAGCGGCGTTTAAACTGTGATCGAACCCATTAAGTGCCCGTCCCAGAAAAAAAATCAGAAAGTGTCTGCGCAAAATGCACTGCAGTTACGCCAATTACTGTATATTCCAACAGTACAATTACATGTATCTCTAACCGACGAATAACAGCACTTACGTCTGAGGACAAGTACTCGCCACTGAAAGCATGGAAACATCCCTTGCTACCTTTATGCCCTACCCTCTGTGGTTGTGTAAAATACGTCTACCAATACCACCTAGTTTGGTTACCAGACCCGATGACCAAGACAGGAGGTAGGCCTATTCCTCCTGTTTCCGGATGTAGCCGAAATATTCCGAAGCCATCCCATCTATATTCGGCATGACCGTTTCTGTTCGGTTATTCCCGGCCGGATAGCTGTTGAACGTAAACTACCGTATCCTGATGGCGACTGTTGATCCTACAATATTTGACTTTAAACACTAAAATCGAAGGTCGCCTTGGCCGAAATGCAAAATATAACTTTCTTCGAACAATGCAGGCTCTATGTTTGAAACATGCTCGAAGTGGGAATACACTTGCAGTATTGCCCATTGGATATGGGAAAAGCCTCATTTTTGAGATGTTGCCACTGATGAATTCAAAAACACCCAGGCTCTCAACTTGTGACCCCGGACCCTTGCGTCATATCTATTTACATCCGTGGGTGATGCCTGACCTAAGATTTTTTTTTATCAAGAGTCGTCATGGAATCTTTGGGAAGGGAACCAGACTAAATACCACCAAGCGGTCACAACGGGAGACTTTGAGGCGCTTAGTGGCAGCAAACAATCCGGTCATTTTCCGCGGTTATGCGTGTGCTGAGTACTAACACGCATGCCTAGTACTGCACGTGCATACCCACATCAGCCAAAAAAAACCTGTTGTGTCTGCCGCCAGCGATTTTTTTCCGAAGGTGGGCGAGTCAAAATGAAAGAATTATTCATAAGACCTACAAATGAACTGAACTCCAATAGACCTCTGTACTAATAAATTAATAATTATGCACGCACGTGCACAAATGTCCTTGGCGGCAAGAAGTGTGTGCGGGCCATTGAAAATGTACAGGGGTGCAACTTCAATGATCATTTTCTGTCAGGTTTTCTGACTTAATATTGTTCATTTTTTTCGACAGAAAATCCTATTAAATCGTTTTTGCTATTAGTTTCTAACTGAAGTGGGACTTTTTTAGTGCTCTGTTAAAAGATTTTAAAATCATAATTTTTCCTGTCGTCGTTTCTTAATGTGGCCCCTTTCCATCATGAGTAGTATAAACTACATCGTTAGTGTTCTTGGAGCCTACCTGTACATTTTGTAAAAACACGTACCGATGTTCAATGTACATGCATACTGTACGTACATGTACATAGTTTACCATTGAACTCGGTCATAGCTTGGAGTACTACCGAAAGAAATGGTATCCAGTTGTTATGTTTGGGGTCGTAGGAGAAAAAGTACAGATTCCATAGACAAAAGAGATCCGGTTCTTCAGATTTCCCAAGTACAGAAAGCAGCGAATCGAATGTGTACAGTACCGGTACATGTAGGCCTACATTGAACCAGTGAGGTAGATTGACTCATGAATCCGAATCAACTGCTGGCTGTCGCCGGGAGTATCGAATGCATTCCGTCCTACCTGGCCGATATAGGCCAATAATTATAATTATCATAGGTAAATGGTTTTCTGACGTGATAGTCAAGTCGCTCAAACTTTCTATTTCGAACAGCTTGCTGTCTCGTCTCACTGGACAGTGGGCATGGCTTTTATTTCTTGCATCAGAACTACGAAATGAACCTAAAAAGGAATTGGGGGATAGACAAAACGCACCATTAAATCCGTGATTAACCTCTCTTTCACGGGTTATACTTACCGTAGAGAGGAACTTCGAAAATCGATAAGAGGAATCCTTCTTCTTGAATGCTGAAATCTGTCTTGAATTTAATGGTGACTGACGACGAATTGAAGACCATGCTGCGAACCTTTGTTCTTCCGTCTAGGGAGAACTCTGACGGATCGACTGCGTAAAATGTTCGCCCTTCAATTCTCAAAACATCATAACGAGCCTCTGTGTTGAAGTCATGAACTTGGACAAAAATGACGTTCCCCTGCGCAGTCATGATTGTCCACGCGCAGTCTAGTTTAGCGGGATAATCAGCCGGATAGTTCGGCGAGGTGAAATTTACCGGCTCAGGGTCTGCCACAATTATCCTCTCGCCGCAATAATCTGAGAACACAAAAGGTAAACTGTGCCCCGATAGAAATGAAGTAAAAGAAAAAGATAGTCATCAACTCCGTTTTGGTTCATCTCCCCATTTACACTAAGCATAAGTTAGGGATTTGTGGGGGGTGACTGGTCTTGCCCGGCCATGACAATTTTATGTGTAAAATCAACACGGTGAAAATGGATTACGTAAAAGAGAGATGGTGAAAAAGGATGACAAAAGACGTTGACGTTGTCACAAACATATTTTTACATGGTGTCTTTTGTAGTCTTATTTTCTATATTTTACCGTAATTGGGACGAAGTTTCCTTATGGTAAACTACTCAGAATTTGAGTTCTGGTTTCTGTAGAATATACGGCCACTTACTTGTTGGGCAAAGTAGTAATTCGTAGTTTTCGGGCACACAAACAAACTCTGGGTAGTCGCACATTACTTCACCAACACCACATGAAACTTGAACAGAAACAAAAGAATGTCATTATTTTTTATTGTTCCTTATATTTTCTTTCTAAAATATTGCCTCATAGAAAGAATGTATCATTTATCACATTCCAAAATCCCAAAAGGTTCTACATCCTGTAAAAATTCCATTTTCTATTCACTTGGGTGTTCAAACTGTTGAACAAAAAACGCAAGACTTGTACGATTCGCAGAATTCAATTTAGTGTTAAGTCCGAGACTGAGTGTCTGGTGTAACAAAATGGGTGCAACTGAATGCAATGCCAGTTTTCATTTTTTTTTCCAGCCAACGTTTGACCCTAGAATCTAGCCATACCACTACTGACTCTTGACTTCTGGTCCGATCCAAGACCATTGGGACTGAAAACTAGTTTTCATTTCTGTAAATGAATAGCCAGATTCAACTAATTTTGAAGTAGTACCAGATCAAGGACAATTCTTTTATTATGACACAAATTTATGGAAAGCTTTCCAGTTTCGTAGAATTTCGTAGAATCGTTTTTTGTTGAAGTAGAACTGCTTCGATTTAAAATTAGTTACAAAAATGTACCGCTGAATTAAGAGAATGATGTAGTCAATTTAATTCAGTTTGGTCCACAAAAGTTAATAACTGACTACCGACTTCAGCCTTTCAACCCATTCATGTAATTTCCTACACAGACAGCTGACACAGGTAAGCCCGATCCCAGAGTTGTAGACTCGAGTCACCTGACTTGGTACAAATCGGACTCGAGTAACTACTTGTATGACTTTTTTAGATTTTTTGACTTTTTTTTTTGTGATCAGTTTTTGACTTGTGACTTGACTTGGACTTGCAAAAATTGACTTTTCTACCACCTGTGCAAAATCCTTAATTGTAGCGAAGTACTTCATTTCAGGTGGCAAAGAGCACTGCTTGAGTCAAATATGAATATAAAAAATACATCAAATACTTCAACACGGTTGTTGAATGTGTTCCACTCAACTGATTTACCTTCGTTGTCTGGTCTTTTTTCAACTTGAAGAACGAATCCTTTCCTCTCAGTGAAGTAGTTGGAATAGAAGTGCAAGGCCAACTCATTGCCTTTCGATGCAACTCTGCTTGGAAAATATGATCTGCAGTTGGGGAAGGCAAACACAGCAGTCGACTTTTAAGACAATACTTTCATGTACAATAACACCCTTGTTTATACTATGTCGTTTTTTTGTTCCGTACTTAAAACAAGCGATTAGAAAATCAGGGTTTTCATAAAACGGTTGCTTACAATTTTATCGCTAGGGAGATATTTTGTATCCACTTTGTTTAATTCCATAATAAAAGTAATAACAGCGCAAACGTTGGCAAGATAGAAAGATACTTCGCCAGTAAATCGCCACAACTTGGTTACAAGACTGTGTTGGTGTTTTTTTTGTTTAAGTTTTAAGGCGTCTCTTTCGTCCTTTCTATTTTTTTTTACAAAACTCACGAAGGGCGATCAAGCTTTTTCGTTTTACGACTCCCCATTATAACCCAGGAAAAATAAAGGATCATTTGCACCCTTGCGATACATGTATTTCTACCTTGCCCTACACTTGCATCCACAGCCACTGAGGTTTGGAGTCGCCACTGCGCAATGCCCATTTATGCGCATGCGTGCATAATTAAAATTAATTAGTAAAACTTCCTTTACTGTCGATCACGCAAGTGGTATGAATAAACGCAATCCATGATTGCCATAGTCCGATCACGCCACAGAAAACAAAATATATCAGACGTTGCAACAGGAGTATACCAGGCACGAAATGGGACAAAGGGGTACCCCCAACAACTCCAATCCCTGTACACACTCTAGCCTATTGTTACTTCTCTCTGTCCTATAGTTTGCATCAAATGAAAAGGAACGTTAAAAATTGCGCCCATTGATGATTACATTTTCATGGATGTGAAAGTGTAGTCAGGTGCATATAGCAAGCAGGCGTAGACAGGAACTTCATGGACCAAAACTGCAAGCGCAACGGTTCACTCGAGCTGCAGCTCAAGCCAGAAAAAGGTTTGTATGAAAATCAGTGCGAAAATTTCTACTAATGTCAAGTCTTTGAAACGTCCCGAATAGAGAGGGAACATGATAATGAACGTTCCTTGTCCAGCACGGCATCTATTTTTACCCGCTTATTCGATAGCGATTTGAGAACTGGAGTCCATTTGACAACTGGAGGTAGTCGTATCCGTCTTGAGTCTCGAATTCCAGAAAGATGACCAGAATTCGGTGTCCTTGGGGAGCAATCGCAAACCAGTAGCATCTCAAATTTGAAGGGTACTCCCTGGGCCATCCAGGCGAGGTCAGATTGGCGTAGCCTAACTTTGTCATGTTAATACGTGTTTCGCCGCACGGCCCTGAATTGGATAGAAAGGACCTGTTACCTTACCAGGCATGGCACAAAAATGAACGCACCTTATTCACAAGGAAGCCAGACGTTATGGTATCTTATGGTATCTTATTCAGTGTAATTTGTTAGTGGGATGGTACTAGACTACTTTTGGTTCCATACCTCACTTTCTCATCTTCTTAAGTGTTACATCAAACATAATTTTAAATTATTCATCACGTAAATGAAATTGATTTGTAATGAAGTCTTGTTTCGTTGCTTTATTTTTATTCTTAGTTCCAAATAAAAAAGTTAATCTCACTATCCAGTGCAATATGGCTGACTTCTGAATATATTTTGATTTCTCGCCATCTTAGGTTCATGCACTCTACAATAACACTGTATTTGCTTTAATATTACTCTAGGTAGACCTTTTCCGTGCTGTTTTGCTATTCACTATCACTTCATCCAAGATAATAAGTCACCTACAATCCTTCGCAGTGAAACTTACAGCAAGTTGAGAAGCATTAGGTTTTTGAATCCCGCAATTTTTTAGTGGCAATGCGCAGTGAGATACAATAGTTGAGCAGTTGTAAATGGTAAAGCTCTGAATTGCTCCTCATGAGGAAAACTTACCACAGTTAAACTCGTCTGAGTGATCTGAGCAGTCCGGGAACCCATCACAAATCCAGGGCCTTACTATGCAACTGCCCCCGGTTTGACAAGCAAAGTGCTCCTTGGAGCATTGCCCTATAAAAGAGGTCCAAAATGATGTGTCAGGACCTTAATCAATATTAAGCAACAGCAACGTGGAGAAGAAAGCTCTTTTACCAATACAGATTGTATGTGGGTGTTTCACTAGAGTAAACAGGCAATACCCCTGTTTAAACCATCGAAAAATAACATTCCTAGAGCATTCCTAGTTCAAAACTGTAAACTCAAGCACAAAATGTATATTCACTATTAAAAAAGGAATTTAGTTTCATGGGGATTTTTTTTCACTTACTACATCCAAATTCGTCCTCAAACTCAGGGCAGTCTGGCCAGCCATCGCAGACATCTGCTTGGTCGATGCAGGCGGTTCCAGAGGGGCATTTGAACTGTCCAATTTGGCACACTGACAAAACACATCCAGCTCTACGTTATCTACGTCTACAGACCATTATGCTACATTGCCCGATACAGTTTCAGATTTACAGTTCCCGTTCAAGTTATATAGTAAAGAGTTAGTGGATGAATGACAATGTTTATTGCCAACATGCCCAGAGTTCTACTTTCATCAGGCCTTACATACAAGGAATCTCCTGTGTTCAGTGAGGGGCAAGGAGATAATAAATATCAAGCTTTTGGCGCATGATTAATGCACGCTCATCACTAGCTCATTATTTGAGACAGTATAGCCAGTACGAAAATCTTCAGTTAATCTTGAAAGAGCCAGGATAGATGTAGCCTCTCTGATGTTCTCTCTCATACTGTCTCCTTGGGGTTTTTTTAGGTCCTTTATTTCGAAATTTTAATTTTGGTTACTGTTTGCGAGTCACACACTTAGAGGGGCATAAAGACAGGTATCAAAATCGACACTGGTCCCATTCCAGGTCCAGAGCAAACAAAGCTAACGACTTGAGGCCAATTTTTTACATGTTCACGACCTTGGCTTGTTCACATTAATATTTTACTTACCAATGTCCACAAATTGTCTGAGCGTAAATGCAATATGCGGACGAGGACCACTCTCTATCCATAGTGTGGAGCCACGGGATGATATGTAAGGGCGGAATGTGCTCCTCAAATCTGAATGAAACTCAGCAAGTTTTGTACACTGGCTCGCGTTACTGTCTCTAAGGAAGTCCTGGTAGTTCCCATCACAGAAGATGATCTGTGCACTGTGGTATGCTAGGATGGTGACCTGGATTCGCGCATACGGCTCTGCGGTGACAGTCCACAGACAGCTGTTGTTATGAATTTTATTCTCCGCTGCAGACAACAATCGACTAACTGAAGCATTCAAGGCAATGTTAGGCTCCCCGCAGTACCCTGAAATTAAAAAATAAAAACGCCTGTCCGCACCTTTAGCATTATTGTAACATTGCTGAATTTAAAAAGGCGATTTCTAAACTGCAAAATATATTTTAATTTGAATTTAACACTTTGGCAGTTATCAGTGGACTACGCCAGACTGGCTGTAGTCCTGCAATACCACCGAGGATGTCAAATAAAAACCAATTTAACACAGTTTTTGCGGTGTAGGTCGGTATGCAAAAGGGACAGTTCTATAAATAGTTACACATCGACTCTCAACCTACTTAAATAATCAAGTGAAGCTTTAGCACTGAGCGATACAGAAACTGGTCCCAATTAATGTATGCATTGTAAGACAAAGGGTAGAGCTTGCAAGTAAACCGTTTCCAGTCATAAAATCTGGCCCAGATGTGCTTCCCCAATAAACACCTTAACCTGTGATGGTAACGCACCGTATCCTTTAATGGTTTCATGCGGTATTATGTTGATTAATCTTACTACACCCAAATTCGTCGTTCCTTTTTTCACAATGCGAGATGCCATCACAGACCCGATCAAGTGGTATGCACTCTCGTGCTGAGCATGCAAATGCATCGTCGTTACAGCCCGCTGTCGAAAGGACATAACAAAAACAGCGGCCTTTAAATTAAGCTGAATCTGAATCATATCGCAGTTATTGTATATAGGGCATGTAATGCAAATCCACGCATCCACGCTCCAGCAGGCGTTTCACAATATTGCGCCTCCAACAGTTTGCAACGCGTTGACCAATCACAGTGCGCAAAATCTGTCAACCCAATGCGCATTTCAAGGGCATATATATAAGCCCATAGACTGGCTGCCCCAATTAAAAACAACGGCGGGGTACCGTAACCGAAACGCCATCCGACTAAATCCAAATGCGTAGGCAAATTAACCCCTTGGTATAGGGAATTTACGCACAGTTGAGGAATTTCAACCGTAAAATTCTATCGAGAAATTTTTAATTGTGGAAAAAATCCTCTGTTTACATAATCTGGCCCATGCAGATTCGAAACAATGCGGTTGCAACGTTTGAAAAGAAGAGATAGCAGTACCGAAGATTAAAAAAGGGACAAATAAACAAATACATGTACTCCAAGCCCGAGTTCGGGCAGCTTGTTCCGTATATTCACGAACAGCTCGATTCGTTATTCGTGGGTCGGCCGCTCGAACGCCGGGAACAAACAACCGGTTGTCGCTGGCAGTTAGTGACAAGCAACATGCAACATGGCGGCGTCCATGTGGGCTACGTTATTCGAGAGTTAATGTTTGGATGGGCTGAATTCTTTTCTATTTAAACAGGAACATTCATTTCTGTGTTACGGAAAATTATTAAAGTTAATTTTGCAAAACTTCCCATTGTCTATGGCTTTAGAAGCCCTCTCTTTACTTTTACTGTTTTTGAACTTTACTGTTCAAAAATCAAAATCTCACGAGTTTTCCTGTAAAACCCTGACAAGGAGGTGGTGTGTGATCCTGTTACGAGAACAGAGTTCTTGAGTCGTGTTTCCGCCGTTCGAGCGCGAAAACAAGAAACCTGTGTCAAGAACTGGCCGCCCGAACTCGACCCAAGTGCGTCACGCGCAATTCGCACTGAACGCGCTGCCATCCACCGTTTCGCCCACAGCTTGCCCACCGACTGGTGGTCTATGCGTTTAATATCTTTGTGGCGCGTTTGGAAAGAGTCGACATATTTCGTGCTCTGTAATGGACCTTTCCTATGAAATATGCAAATACGGCAGGCGCATGCGCATTACTACCACTGGTTGGCAAAGTTGCTTAAATCTTTGACGTAACAATACACATCTTTATGCGCGCGTCACTGTCGCCGTTTCTGTGCTTGTATAGCTTTGACATGAGTGCCAAAATTAAAGACAAGGTACAGTTACTTTCCAACCTCAGGACACTGAAAACTTCACTTAGTTTCGAGAAAAGCGTGCTCAAGTATCGGGCAAAGGCTGTAATATAGTTTTGATTGACCGTCAATGGTCCATGTTATGGTTACTAGCAGCTCGCCTACGCTACCGACAGTTTTGACGGCTGCACTTGCCAACCAGTGGTAGTAGCGCATATGCGCTCGTCCAATTTGCATATTTCATAGAAAAGGTCCATTGGTCAACGCGCGGCGTTTCGAGCTCTTGGAGGCGCACTAATGTGAACCGCCCGTATGAGTATAAACGTGTGTATACCCAATACCGAGAACGTTTTTAAGCTTACTTTCATCGAGGAACTCACAGGGTTGACAAAATTGCTGCCTCTAGTAATTAAAATGCACGATGATTGTGTGATTTCTACTCTGATGCAGCGCACTACTTACTGCAGTTGGTTTCGTCTGCGTAAGTGGGGCACTCGTGAATACCGTTGCAGACAGAAGACTGGTCCAGACACTTAGATCCTGAAGGACACGCAAACTGACCAGACTCACAATCTGTGTCCAAAAGCAATTCGACAAACATAATGTACCAAAATTTTAGAGCAAATGTTTGGGTATTTCATCTGCACGGGTTACTTAACAAAGCGGTTTCTTGATTCATTAAACTACAAAAAGAGAGTTTATCCTTGAAATTGAGATCTGATTATGTATTCATACAGCCACAAGGGGAACTCTCGAAGGTCAGAGGTGTGAGGACAACTTGAATGCTTCCAATAAAGCAACACAAAGACTTCGTCTTCACAAAGTTCACAAAGTCAGAGATCATAATTTCTGTGAAAGTCAGGCCGACATCGGAAAATAACATCTAAACGTGAGGGAAACATTTACACATTACCAATTCCTTGGTTGTTCCTTACCAACGTTCGTAAAACTCTGGAGGTTAAATCGAAGCTGGTATGATGCCCATGCACGCGTTTGCAAAGCCGTTGTCATCCAAAGAAGTGAGCCTGAGGAAAACACTGCTCTATAAAATGGCACCGAATCGTTTTCCAACAGAACGGTTGAATCGACACTGGGATCGAGGCCGTTACCGATGCGCAGAGTACTTCCCCAGGACTCGATGACCTCTATCGCTATTCGAGTACCCGCCGGTGAGGTAACCTTCCAAAAGCATTCACTGACGTTCGATGTCAAGTTAGCTACAACCATAGGGGCACCCTGGTCAACACGCCCAGAGACCGTTACTAGATGCTGTTGACTTCCTATTTCTTTGGAAACCTCAACTGTCACCACCTGGTTGTGTGCTGACAAGTCCAAATTGGTCGCTCCACAAAAACCTGAATGCAGATAATGAGGAATTGCCGGTCAATGATTGAGAGCTAGAAAAGAAGTTTTACCGTTGAATAAGTTCAAATTTATTTTCAATCTCTTCTCAAGAAGGAAACCTGTACTTATGAAAGAGAACCATGTATAACTTTTGTTCTGTTTGAGTGGAGCAAATCCTTAATTACAGGCAAAAATTGCAAACACGAGTACATCCCATAGAAACTTTCCAAAATGGTATCCAGACTTTCCAAGTTGGTCTCCTGTCTCATGTATTGGCATCTATAGTGAATCTGTGGATAGTGGCAGGTAACCAATGCTTCTTTACCGCAATCAACTTCATCTGCGTAGTTTGGTAGCTCTGCTCTCCCATTACATCTGGAACTGCCAGGCACACACTTTGAGCCGCTCTGCAAGCTCGGATCGTCGCAAGAACCTTACGATGCAAAGAATTCAGTAGAGCTAATTAAAATAATCATTTTCAGGTCTTCAATCTTGTGAAGTTGAAGGGGAAGCGACGGAGATGTACGGTCAATGGCATGTGTCGCTCAGTTTTGCATTAAAAAAGGGTACAGTTATGAAAAGGGGTTTAGGATATGAGATTATAAATAAGTTAGTCCAGAATTGATGCCGGCAGTAAGTATATGTACGAACATATTGCGGACATGACCTTTAGTCATGAGCAGGATTTTCTGATTAAAGTTGGATCTTATTCTTGCACCTCAAAACAAGAGTCAATAAATATTCTGTCGTGTCCCACTACTACTTGAAGGAGTCACGGCGGCACTTGATTTCTGTTCATTGTACATGTACTTTATTCAAGTCTGGTAGCGCCTAAACCTATCATGACAGTTGTTTCGACAGGGGTAGTTTACAATACATTACCTTTGCATTTTCCATGTTAATGAGGCATGTAACCATGGTTACACCTGCAACTATTACCCCCCCCCAGTCAATTCCAGAACCAATAGCCATGATAAGGCTGAGAGCAATGGTGGTGGAGTTACATTCACAATGAAAGAAGCATAAAAGGTCAGCTTATACGCCTCCGGTCATTCAAGAAATTCTGCGATCGAGAAACAACGGATATCTGATTTCACCTTTGACTTGTGCTGCAGAAAACTCGACCTCAATGCCAAAGAATGCTCCTGCCACAATCCACATCTGATTTCCATTGAAGAAGTACAGGGTCCCAACAACTTGCATGTGTGTTTCATTAGCGACCAGTGAAGAAGGCGCGGACTTCCCCAGCCCGTTACCGAATGCCACGTAGCTGTGAAGGTCCACGACCATTTTCTGGACTCGCATGGTGATGAAAGTATTGATATCGCTGGTAACTTGCCACACGCATACATGAACGAGACCTTCCAACGAAGTCGCAGAAAGCAAGATGGTGGAGTTCACATTAACTTGACGATGACCACACGTGGAGTCTGCCTCGGCAAAGACAAAGCGCATCTAGGATAAATCTGGCATAATTATTTATCGAAGGGAGTTTCTGTTTTAACCGTACGTCAGTTGCGTACTTTTCAGCACAAATAAAGGAACCTATCAGAGCAAGAGGAACATTGTATGGAGTACCATGGAGGAATACGAATTCCTCCATGGAGTATCGAAGTGAAAGACATCAGCACGAGAACCAGCCAATGAACCATCACTCGCGCGTTCTCCCTTCGTTTGCCCTGTACTTCCTGTTTATGGTTCAAATGGTATCACGCTTAGATACATTTCACCGTTCACTTATTGGCAATAGAGCCTGAAAATTTACCCCTGACGGCGCGCTTCCAGAACCCTTGGAAAGGAAAAATAACGTGTTTAGAGTTTGTAATATTTTTTCGTTCAGTTACTTCTTCAAAAATCCAACTTGGAAAGAGGGCTTCGGAAAATATTTGCCAGCATATCAATTTATAAAAACTGAAAAAATTACCTGACCTGAAAGAGAAATGTCCGGCCACAAATTGACCCATCACGGCCGAAAATCTAAAATACATGAAGAACAGTCCAATGCGGAGGCCTCGTACGCAGATAAAAATTTACGGTTCATGAACAAAAGCCCAAATAAAAATAGATCAAAATAGTTTACACACTTTTTAATTTATTAGGTAACAAACTTAAAGCAATACTTTTGCGAAAGATTCTAATATTTTATTTAACCTTGGCTGACCATAACTGTGTTATGTCAACTCAACGGAACTTTGAACCCATCGACTGCATTTGGGTAAATCTTTGCACAGTTTTACAATCTCGTTTGCACGTAAGCACGGGGAGTGAAAACAAACGTTCAGGAACAAGGAGACCAAATTATAATATCTTCGGACGTGAAAGGTTGTTGATGAAATTCGTTTTTTTACCAATGTCCAGGTAACTTTTCTTACATAATAGTTGAGGAAGACAAAAGTAAAATTCCAACATGAGTGTTTCATGGGGTGGTTTGAGTTAAGAATTTTTCTTCCAAAAATTATCGAACGTGATAGGATGGCCCAATGTAAAATCCCCATATAGGTGGACCGCGCGAGGGTTCCGGAAGCTCGCTTCGTGACCTTTTACTTTCAGGCTCTGTCGCGACATGACGACCACCAGCGCAACTTGTGCTTTAGCATACGGAGGTTTTATCCGAGTCTAGAGGGTCTGCATATTTTTGTGTGACATGGAAGGGTGACTACAACGGCTTGCGAAGTCTAAAATACATACAAGTGTATTTTAAACTTCAGTCGTGTCAGGTTGCCCTGTTCTTAATCGAACCTTAAACGACTCAATATTGTAAAATGCAAATGCACGCCATTCTTGGTAAAATAAAGAATAATCTGTTATAAATGGCTAGGAATGTATTTTTCAGATTCACGTATTTTTTAGAGATGAAGTTTAACTTACAGCAATCCCATTCGTCTTCGAAGTAGTCGGCACATCCGATGAAACCATCACATATCTGCTGACTATCCAAACACTTGTCGTTGTGACCACAATGAAATTCATCTTCACCACAAGTTGCTAATCCAATGAAAACAACATTAAGGCACATCAGTTTCTTATATATTGGTTTTTCTGGGTCACAATCATAATGCACTTAATTACGTGGAATTTCTCCGTCTTTTCACCACATTGGGTGCCATTTGAATATTGCCCGTGCCATATACACCCCGTAACGTGGGTCTTAGGCTGCATCCGAATCTCTTGTCTAGAGCTAGGTCTAGGTCTTCACTCCATTAGAAATGCGTGGAGACGCGTAGACAATAGACCTGGCCGTAGCTCTGGAAGCCCGTTTTGGACAAGGCCTATGTTTGTGGTACACTCTGCAAGTTTCCGATGGTGACAAATTAGAGGGGGTTTCCCCAGTGCACGTTTTCACAAGCATATAAGTACATGTATATACACCACTGTAATTAGTAGTTAAATGTTAGAGTCTGTAATGAGCGAGGCACTACGACTTAAGCTTACTGTATCCGTGTTTATTTATGATTTCCCATCACAGGCAATTACTCGAAATCGTATATCCTCTCCTGGAAAAGATTGGGCCCTCCAGGGTTCACTGCTCAGCTCCTGCCAGAACATTCCTTGGTGCAGAGGAGAGCAAATAAGGGGTGAAGTGGCTTGCCTACAAGACACAGTCTATGTTGCAAACGGGACTGACAGGTCAGAACTCCTTACCCCTGTGGAGGAGTTACAAGTCTTAACCACAGGGTTACCTTTCCCTTTCAGCTTGGTGGAGTGCCGGATTAAGATTACTTACCGCATCCCACTTCGTCAGAATAATCGTCACAGTCGCGTACAGAATCACAACGTGCGTCGATGGGCAAGCACTGGACTCCAGACGAACAGGCAAATTCGGTGATGTTACAGTGCACTGCAGAGTAGCAATATTGAAAGACAAGGGATGCCAACCTTCATCTAATTCGCCAGGACAGATGTTTTGATCACCAATGATAACACCTAAAAAAATTCCACCATTTTTACGAGTCAGAAACCACTTGTCTTTTTTCAGATGGCAAAACACGATTGAGAAGACTTGTTAAAAAGACTAAAACCATGACAGCAAAAAAACCTAAAAACAAATGGAGTACATGTATTGGCATTTTGCTTGTCTAAATTTGCTTTTGTAGGCGATTCATTGTTATGTAATCGTAACGAGAAAAAGAGCAACCCTTTTTTCAAAAATGTTTTGAATGAGACAATTTTGGCTTTACAATCTGAACAGAAAAACACACAGTATTCAAGTTACATAAATTATGCACGTAGGCCTATGATTTTCTTTGAAATGGTTGTATTTTACAGAATTTGGCCATTAAGTTTACGTATCACCTACATAAATAGAAATTATACGGTTGATTGTTCCTACGTAGCTTTTGGAAGATTCTTCCGTAATTCAGGAGTAGCTCTGGAGACTTGCGACTCATTTCATTTGATATGGAAGTTATAAAACTATAGGGAAATATCAGACGAAGTGGCTTAACGAATAATTTAGTTCTGTCAAAACAGATTTCTTTTTATAGTTCGCACCACACTAACCTGTTTCACTTAACTGCGCCAGTTCAAACGAGAAGATATTCACTACGTAACTCGGGGTTATGGAAGATATCCAAGCCTCCTCCGAATGAATTGTAAAGACTCTGGGAATCGTACCCGTTGTTTTATTCAGGACTGTTGAGTTCAGATCACTTGGATCGTGGCCAGAGCCCACCAAGATGGCCGCTGACAGGGTGAGGGATACATTAATGACGCGGAAGTTGATGAAGTGACCTGGAGAAGCGTAGACTAACCAGATACAGGTTAATGGCACATATCCTAATGGCCGCCGTGGGGAGAGCAGGTAGATGCCACTTCCAGAGAGATTAACAGGTGGACCACAGACACCTGGTAAGACAATAAATCATTCGAAGCGATTAACATAAATGTCTAACTGTCAAACTAAGAGAGTATCTCCGCGTTGACTGAGAGGACTGTTGCAATTAATGTCGGAGAAATGGATTTGACCTTGCGATAACAATCAAAGTGGTTATATTCTCTACGCATTAAAAGCATGCATAGTTGCTCGCATCATTGGGGGAAAAGAAAAGTAATTAAACTACATTATTCGTTCTTAAGCTTCAATCTTACAAATCCCTTATCCCGAAAGAGCATTAGGCAATGTAAATGCAGCCAGACCGGTTGTCTGGCTTTATGCTTCGACAAAATAAATGTCATGTATAACCGCCAATCACGTCTTCCAGTTAAAAAAATGTTTAATATATATAAATACAACGGGAGCTGTAGTTGGCTCTCGCGATTCATTTTGGTCTAAAAGTGGTTTGCACCCATAGTTTCTTGTCACACCTGATTTTGGTTATTTTGTTGATTGAATGAAACACACATTGTCAAATCACCGCCAGGCATCAGAGTAGCTTCTGAATGCAACGCATAAACTGCACCTTTAAATTGATAGCAAAGCTTACGTCATTGGGATTCGTCTACTTTACCGAGTTGCGGCTGCAACCTATAGTAACCCCCCCCCAAAAAAAAACTACCCGTGATACGTATTAATCTATGTTTTACCTTTTAATATTTTGACAAAGTTAATCTATGTTCATAGGAGTTTACAGGTATCGATATTTTAGAGTAGCATTGGCTTGCACTATAGGCGTTACAAAAATGCGACTCGATTACTTTTCACAGTACAAAATGTGGTCTCAAAGAAAAAAATTGAGATATTTTAGAGACTTTAAAGATTTGACTGCCCGTGATTTCGTTCCTTTCTGTCGTCCTTTATGCATTACTGGGAGGGATTAGTGTAAAATGCTTTCTATGTCGTTTTGTCTTAATAGATGAATTTAGGGCATCTTCTACACTATTCACAAGAAAGTTTTTTTACACTTATACACTGTGAAAACATTATCATCTTCAAATAACAATGATTTTGAAACTTACAGACGGTAATTTCCTGTACTCTTTCCTTCTCGCTTGAAATATAAGTGGAATGATTTTTTTACTACTAACTACGAGTGTTGAAAGTCTGTATCTAAGACTAATGCAATACATACAAAGAAAGGTACGGCTTTTTATCGGAATGAAAACGTACCACAATTAAGCTCATCATATAAATTTGGGCACTGTTGGAGGAAATCACACAAACGCTCCTCGTGCACGCATTCTGACTTCCCCCCAGATGTTGAACACTGAAATTCGTATGGATGACATTCTCCTGTAAGTAAAAAAGAATAAATAGGGTTGGAACAGTATGTTCACCAGCAGCTGGAAACAATTTCCTGAGGTCAATCGGTACAGAAGTGCATAAGGGCTAAGACAACGAAAACTGGGAGAGAGAAGAGAAATTATCTCATAAGCCAGATTTTTTCTTGTCATGTTAATGGCCCTTCGAAGCCATCGTTTCCCTTTCAGTGTGCCAACATTTTTCAGTCAATGCAGGGGCCCTTTTCTGTGTGGGTGTGTGTAGGGGGAGGCAGCCATTCATATAGGATAAATATAGATATCTCCTTTCCCTTCCCTTGTTTTACCCTTATGCTTTAATTAGTTGCGGCAAAAGCACGATATTTGACACAAAAGCTTAGATTAAACTGAGTACCACCCTGGCGTGCTATACACGACGGCCTCTGTCGTGCTACACGCCGTGGCGTCACGCGGTGTACCATCGTCGTATCCAATCCGTGCCTGTGGTCTAATTAAATAAATTTTGCACTTCGGCTTGAAGTTTTTGGTACGCGCACGTGTAGCCTGGAAATTTGCCTCGCTGACTTAATACATAAGACTTGGGGAAAACGACAAGATCTGAAAACACCTGGTCCAGGAAGACTGGGTCGCGATTTATTTGAAGGTCAGGACACAAAAAAGAAAGAATTTGACAGTTGGCCAATGAACTTTAACTGGGACCCATCCTGTAACCGATGCCAGCCGTACAAAGAAAAAAAAACAGTTCTCTCATGTGGTCCTCTAAGGAAGATAATAAATGAAACTGTACGTGACTAAAGTAAAAAAAAGGGGGGGAATGGAAATGTGATAACAACCCAGCACAGTGCCACAACTGGATTACTCGAGTGATCCATCAGGCACAAACCCCAGCTGCCACTAGTGACGAGAGCAGAAAAATGCAAATGTGGGAAGGCTGAAGAGAGCTGTGAGTGGTAATACTCACTCTTCAGTAGCATGCACTAGTCTGAACAGTTAACTGCAGGAGGCTCGATAAGCAGTGCTAAACTATAAGGTGATGCGGGGTACCAGACAAGTTGCTGACTGAACTAAGGAAGCTTGTAAACGCGAAAGTGTCATGTAAAAAAAAATAAATCTCCCTTCCACACATGCATAGCAACATACTTGAGGATGTCAATTTAACACAAAAAAAACATGACGAAAGCTGCACTGATGTTAACCTAATCGAAAGGGCGTCATATGATTTTGCGGTTGCTGGAAAAATGAAAGTGAAAAACAGGGTGGAAAATGAAGCGATGCCCATTCATAAGTTTGAAGATTGGAATGTTGAGTCGTAACAACGAAATGGCGATATTGCCACATTGGATATAGTGAAATTATACAATCGTACGGTGAATCTACAAAAGTAAATGGTGCACAGCCGAATAAGATAACAGTACTGCCTTGGAGGATAGTAAAGTTGCTGACTGAAGACGTCACATTGCAAGTCTGGATTGAATAATGGTGAAAATGCCGAATGTTATGGCAATCGTCCTGATCGAAATGGTGAAACTGCCGAAATAATGGTGAAAGTGCAAAATGAAACAGTGAAAATGACGAGTTCAGCTCTGAAATTGGCGAACTGAATGTTGAAATTGCCGTCGAATGGTGAAATCGACGAATGGAACAGTGAAACTAACTGTAATTTAAAAGCGAAATGTTAAAACCGACGATGGACATGTATTGGTAACAAAGATAGCAACGGCGTTCCATAACATCATGAAGGCATCAGTCTCTGTCTCTTCACCATGTCATCGTAAATTAACTACAATACTACAATATACTATAATTTTATAATTAAATTCGATGTGTCGCGTTTGACACCAGTGCTGACTCTTTCGCGCGTTTCCCAGGCTGAAATGAATTACAATCGACACAGCAGAAGGCTAAGCACTATTTTGACGCTGGCTTTAGAGACAGCCATATCCACTGTCTGACAAGGGAGACGGGGGGTACCAACCACTTACAAATTTCCATTATCGCAGCTTTGAAGCGGGTTGATCAAATTAGTGTGCAATGTGTCCCCAAAGAACGCTGCAAGGAACATTTTGCACACTCATTTCTGATGGTCCAGCATGATATGCCCTAGTAATTAAACTCAAGCATTTTCAGAAAAAAAGCACCATCTCAGCACGTTCCAGTGCGTAGCGCCAGTGCTACTTTCAGATCATTCGAAATCAAATAACAAATGTGAAACGTAAGACTAGAAAGAGGCACGAGCCAAATTTTGGTTGCATTTGTTTACTGAGACTTACACTGTAATTTTTACGGTAAATTTTCATAATGTTTTACTGGCAGCGTTGGCGCCAGTAATATACTGTAAATGAATTACAGTACCTATTTCGTGGTAATTCATTATTTGAAAAGGTGGTATCTTTGCAACTTGATGATCATCTTTATGATAACAATTTGCATGACATATTTTAGTCAGTCTACAGACCACTGCATTCAACAAAATCTGCACTGATTAAGGTTCAGTCTGACATTGCACAGGCACTTGATAATGGGGAGGTTGTGCTGCTTATGTTAGACATGTCAGCTGCCTCGAAACACAATTCATCATGCAATTATTCTTCGTTGCCTGTTTTGACTTGGTTTAAGTCGTATTTGTCTAATAGATGTCAGAGCGTTATGGTTAAAGATATTTGCTCCGATGAGAAAGTAGTTGAGCATGGGGTACCTCAGGGCTCCGTTTTGGAACCGAAATTGTACAGTATTTATACAAGGCCCGTTGGCCATATTTTGAGTAGGCATGGTCTTTCTTACCACCTTAACGCAGATGACTTTCAGAAATACGTTAAAGTCAAACAATCCCCTGTAAATTTAGCTGTTGCTATCAGTAATATTCAGGAATGTTTGCTGAAGCTGAAAACTTGGCTATGTATTAACGGTCTTAAAAAATGAAGATAAGACTGAGTTCATCGTTTTTTGTCCAAAGAAACTAAATGGTCTCTGTCAGGAGCCTTGGCGTCCTATTTGATAAGAATTAGGATATGCAAAAGCATGTTTGTAATATATCCCGGATATATCATTACCAACTACTTAATATCAGTAAAAGTGACGACGCATGTAGGGCCTTTGTTCAAGCCACTGTTGTGTCTAAGCTTGATTATGCTAATGCCCTTTATATGGCATAAGGGGCGTTCTTATGAATCAGCTTCGAGTTCAAAATACAGCTGCTAAAATAATTACTAAGACAAATAGACGTGATCATACTACACCCATTTTAGCTCAACTTCATTGGTTACCTGTTTGCCAAAGGGTGGAATATAAAATAGTATTGATTGTTTATAAAGCACTTCATGGGCAAACACCAAGTTATATTAGTTCTATTATCCAGCGGTACCGACCACCTATGGCTTTGTGTTCTGCAGATCAGTTCCTCCTGTCCGTTCCAAGAACTAAGACAAAAGTTTTGGAAATAGTTCTTTTCAATAGGGGGCTCCTGTTCTGTTAGGTTGTCCGAATCAGTAGGTTCGTTCAAAACACATCTTTTTATGAAATATTTTAATTAATTTTTCGTATTCTTACGGTTAACATATCTGCAGAAACGTGGTGTTATCCGACGACCATGCTAACACCCTTGTGATTGTAAGGTGTTGCTCCGGCGCCGCTGAATGTCGCTTTTAGCACCTGTGGGTGAGGGGAGCGACGTCAGCGGTGTTGGAGCGACACATTTTGGGTGTGGTCTTCTGGTGGCATCGGGAAGTGTTGTTTTTGGCACCACAGTTTTGCATGTATCTTTGTATTTTTATGTATTATTTCAATCGTCATTGTATTCTTAACATATTAATATAGGTGTTATTGTTATTGTTTTTTTATATTGTAAAGCGCCTTAGAGCCTTTTTGGGCGCTATACAAGTGTGGTATAATAATAATATCGATAATTTGACAGTAACCGTAAAAGTGGCAGTTATTGATCCCGGTTGAATTTACCTTCAGCCACAGTAAATAACAGTTTTCATTGATGACAGATTCATTCTCAATGTGTATGTGCGAAGTATACACACTTATAAGGTTTCGGTTCCCTTACCTCGTAATCTGGTTCCCTTATCCCGAAATCTCGATAATGGCCGTACTTCATTTACACTCTTAGTATACCTCACCTGGTATGTACACGCAATGATTGGTTTCTCTTAAAATCATGGTTAGTACGCAAAAAAGTCAGATTTTTCATTTTTCATGTTGATTTTTATCTTGGATGGCGTTTATATGCAAAATTAGACAAAGCACACACAACTGTCAAAATAACATCAAAGGATCGTTGAATAAAGAATGGAGAATGGCAAAGTTTACTTGACAATCGTAACAACGCCCCATTCGTGTCGACATGCAAATTTAGGTAAAAGTTTATTGTAAACACTACTTTTAAATATTCAGTATTGCACTGCATTTATTGTTAAGCTCTTTTACAGTGGATTACTGTTGTAAAATCGAATCAAACCAAATTTGACCAAAGAAACGGACGAAAAGATATAAAACGAACTCGTTTGCCTCCCGATTGTCCACGGTTATACTCAACCCGAGCAAACCAGAAACGGAAAGAAATGTCCCTCTTTTTGTATTAAGATATTCCCATTTGCCTCTTATGAAAGTAGAGATATCCTGATTTAAAAAGAGAAACCTCTTTTTCAGGTAGTGATCTCTACACTAATAAAAAATAATAGAGATACGTGTACTGGTATCTCAGTCTCAGGATTAAATTCACAATTCAAACGATGTTAATGGAGAACACCAGAGCATTGTGTGGAAGAATCAAGAGTCGCCCTATTTGTGATGTCAGAGGCACTGGCGCAAGAAAGATCAGTGGATCCGAAATATGAAACCTTGACTATACGACACACTGCCTACAACCATGGAGGAAGGACACAGAAGGAATCTGAACTGCCCACAACGTCTGGCCAATTCGTGCTTTATGGCATGCCCGATGTGTCCACGAGAGTGTAGCGATCGCTTGATGTTTCACAACTGTGAAACCCCTTAGTAACCATATATGATCACCGCGTCAATTTTTCGCTGGTAAACTCTGTATACTGAAGAATAGGAAACCGAAGGGTGTTTGGTATGATTTCTCAACATCATCAAATTTAATACTTGCGCAGTTGCTTGTGTTAGGTCGTGTGCCCTAAATGTTCATGTGCAGTTATTGTTCAACGTTCTCTTCTGCAGTTATTTTCGGAATAAATAGTCAAGTTGTTAATAAGATTTTGTGATTTGAATCATTTTTATAACGTCATTTATACAAAAATGTAGTTAAAGAGATCTCGTGTTTAGTTCTTTCTTTCTCTGAGCTTTCCAGTCGTGGCCCACATGTTGTTGGCCAGTCTTGACCGAATTCGTACCAAGTCTTCGAAACTTGTGCTTTGGAGGGAAAAATATGAAGAGTAAAACCATTGCACGGATAATGGAACAGTCACTTTGTATAAAATAAAAAAGCTTATTCACGGTGGCAAAAGAAGGCATAACATTAGGGATTTTTCGTTCTCCATTTCCTGGTCACATCGATAAGTTGTAGTTAATTGCAAGCAAAAAACCAAAAATTTTGCCAGGATGTTACTGGCTCAAGTTGTCGGCAGGCAGTAAAAATCGGGCGATTTTTGGAATGTTCTGTAGTATTGTCTGACTGGGCAGCGCCAGAGTTGTACCCCCTTCGGTGGCCTTTCTCCACGCTCAGGCCAAAGTTCATCAACGCGCTATTTCACTTCATGCCGTTATTTACCACATCCAAATTCGTCTTCTTTGTTGTCACAATCTGGAAATCCATCGCATCTCATGCTGACAGGGATGCAGACATTGTCGCGTGCGCAACTGAATTCTGTCTCATTACGACAAGATGCTGGAAAAAAGAAACGAGGTTAATGAACGTTACAATACACTTCAATGTGAATGCTTTGAACAGATATTAGAATTATGAAACATAACACTTGAATATGCTATCGTGTTTACAACCAACCATTAAAAGACCAACCTTAACTCACCCACTGACCAAACAAGATTGCCATTTACCATTGCCATTTAGATTCTAAATAAATTTGACTCACATTCACAGCGTGCACCGCGTGGGAGTTTTACCTGGATATTCTGACTCGACCCGCAGCAGAAGTCTGGCAGGATAGAGAAAGTAAAACTTCCAAAACGTGATTTGGACATCTGAGTTACGAATTACCCTGCCTGGTTCCTTTACATTGAATAACTGCGCAACTCTCTGCGACCCTGCTTCGAAATATAAGTAAAAATCGTCCAGGTAAGGATCCAAGAAGCGAATCCGGATGACTTGGCCATTTCCGGCTCGCACTGTCCAAGAGCACTCGGCTGTAGTGGACAAGAGGCTGGTTGGATCTCCCCTCAGCTGCCCGCCAGGAAAACTGATATCGTGGTGTGAGTTCATAGGAAGGAGGATAGGATCATCATCGTCACAGTAATCTGCCGAGCATATGAGAATCGTCATATCAACATTCCTCCATGGCAGGGAAGGAGTTTCGCCATCATTTCATCTATGGTTTACGTTAGATTTTAAACTAGAGGTACATGTACTTCTCTACTCGGACTAAAAACAGGAACCAACATCAGAATTTAGCTTTCCGTAGGGAGAAGTTCAATAAGATTTCAGGGTTTGCACAATTGGTATACGCAGGGCAAGTGCTGGCAGTAACACCACGTAGCAAGGTATTTTTATTTCCCGTCCGAGCCACACATTGTAGCATGATGTTATCGCAAACTCCTTGCCTGAAACAACATCAGGCTGCAAACTATTAGACAAAAAGGAAGCAAATTGTGTTCCCTCAAATTCTAAATCAGAAAGGTGCGTAGAAGCATCTTCAGTATAGTTTCCACTCGCCATTTTGCGTATAGTCTTCTTTTTAAAAAGAAGGCTTGGGTTCCAAACCAGTAACCAGGACTTTTCGTGGGGGGTGGGAGTGTGAATCCTCAACAAAGCAGACCAAGCATAGATCTTTTGATTTTTTGTTTTGAAAAACAGCAGGATTAGTTAAGTCGTACCAATTGTTTTACGGGGGAGGGGTTACAAGTATATAAACGCCCGAAAAGGGGATAACCGAGGCGCAGAATACGGACGAGTGCGGACTTTTGTGCTCAAAATCTTTTCGTGCCTCAGAAACGGACCTTTTAGTCGCGTGGGGAGGTGCGGACGCATGCACCCCCTACTTACGGGCCTGGGTTCCAAGCACACACATTCGTCATGCAAAAATTGCGGAAATGAAAAGCAAAATGAAATATACGAATTGTAAAAAAAAACCTCATCCGGGACACTCACCACAGTTTTCTTCATCTGACAGTCCCAAAACGCTGCTACAGTCCAACCGACCATCGCAAACAATCGTAGCATCGTAACAAGCGCTCAGGTATCCGTTTCCGTTACAGAGGAATTCGTTGGACAAGCATCCTCCTTGAATCGAAGGGAAAGAATTACTTGAACTTTTAAACAACATTTTTCTGCTTTATAAATTTTTTCTCTGTGTTCATACATAATCAAACAACCAGACTTAATAACCATCGGGTGTATAGCAAGGTACAGACTGTCAAATGCTTTTTACCTGGGTTTGTTGACAATCCATTCCAATCATTTTTCTGCAGAGCGAACTTGAAGGTCGCATCGGCGCTTTCATTGTAAAGAGCTACAGCTAAGATAATGGAACTCGGTACTGGAATGATCGCGGATATCGTTCTAGGAATCACGTCCCCCGTCTGAAATGTTTCAGTTATGCCCTCATGTAGAAATCGCAGGCCAAATTGTGTAAAAAACCGGCCGACAGAGGATTGTAAAGTGATCTTGACGGTCTCGAAAACCAGCGCAGGAACCGTCCAGCAGGTTGTTTCATTACTGACTTCTCCGCTCCATGCCGAGTACGGTTTGACTTCCTCGGAAATGTTGACGACTTGATTTGAGGCAACATAAACGTAAGTACATTCTTCTCCATCTGTTATAAAAAATACATATGTATACGCTTCATGCATGCATGCACATTCATCAGTAATGTTTCCTTCCGATCTTTCGGATCAACTTGGGGACAACTGCAGCTCCATCTCCACCGACGAGTGAGAACGGTGTTCTTTTTATTACTTCGGTAATTATTTCACCATCTCTTCTTCTTCCTCTTCCAGTTATCATCAATATTAAAGTATTTGAAGACTTTAAATGTCTATACCAACAAAATCATCGTCATAAAATTAGTTTAAAAAATGAGACACCTTTTAACAACTTTTTGACATGCCTTTTACTAAACTCAAAAGATCTGCTTAAAAATCATCAAGGGTGTCTTTGGATCAATATCTACGCAGATATTTGAAATGCTTGGGGGTTTTCGTTTGCGTTTCAGAGTATAACGTGACTTGGAGGAGAGGCAAAATTCTCCAGAGACAGTGAAGTGACTTAACTATTTGCACTTACAGTGACGGCAGTATCCATCTGTAATGCAGACGCAAGGAATGTCGTCTGCGACGCAGAAGGATCCATTGTTGTGATAACAGAGGTGATCACCAACTCCACATTCCGCTAAAATGAACAAGCAATAAAAGTCACACAACCAATGTAAACTCAAAGGGTGCGATGAGAATTCCTTTCCAAGTCTAGTTAATGGCATTTGGAATTTGCGTGGAGCAAATGACAGGCTATACCAATGACATGAGTTGGTAAAGGACTACTGTGAGTCTGTGACCGCATCGTTGATTAACCAGGTACGAACAAGCATTATTTATTACTGGCACTCTACTACAGCCAAACGTTTATACCCAGTCACTTACAAATAATAACACATCTGCCTTTCAAAACGATAACAAATTCTCTTGATTTAAAACTTAGAATAATTTACCGCTGTCGTAAAAAAAAACAAGTCCCGACACTACTTTTCAGCTTAAACTTAAGTTATACCTTCCAGTTCGTGTATTATCAAATCTAGTATAGCTCACATCCTTACCACCTTAACGTCACACATTACATTATATTCCTATTTTTTTTAAACAATTTTTACATATATAGAGTACATCTTTTGTATCCTGGTTGTTTGTATGGGGTTTTGTTTCTGTAAATGATTGTGTTGTTACGCATGACATGCCTTACATCACCCTTTGCTTGTTAGGTTTTGTTACACCTATTTCTAACTCCATTTTTAAAATATCTATTCTGTTATTTTTGTAGAGAACAGTGTAGAGGAAACAAATGTTACTACTTCCACATTAGGGATATCGCTAGGACTTTTTTCACTGGAGGGGCAACATTGTCAACGGACGCATTGGGTCAAAGCGGTCATCAGCAATAAAAGAATTCACTATAAACGGTGAAAAGGGGGGGGGGAACTTCCCAGGTGTATTCATCAAACCTATGATTTCCAACCCCCTTTTATGTTTCTCTCGCTTATTCTTTTATCCCCTTATATTTCGCTTTTCACTAATGTGTGTGTTAGTGGGGGTGCACCATTGTCCCTGCTTCGCAATACCATCGGCATCAGCATTGGCATCGTGATACTTACGTTTATCAGGGAAAGCCTGAAAGGAGTACTGATATGGGCTCTCCATGGAACCACTTGTGTAAACAGTCAGCAAATGCTGTGGTGAGAATATCACCATGTTTTCCACACAGGCGAGGGAGAACAATGCAGACCCGTTGAAAGAAAGAATAAATGCGAGGCCGTTACATTTGCTCGAAGAAAGGTTCGCTTTGATGGTCATTTCTTCAGGGGCCGTGACGTTAATGCAGGCGGTACCAGGAAGGAGGACATCAGGCATCGCTATTACTGGGCCAGAGGAGTTGAGCTGTAACTCACGACACGGAACTGTAAAGAAAAAATAACGACAATAATGCTAGGGTAGCAATAGGGTTCTGAAGGGTATACAGCGATAGGCTGTAAGATGCCTAACTGTTAGAATCCAATCATTGAAGAAAATGAGAAATCTAGTTATAAAATCTGACAGCTCAGAGTAGCTCAGCGATGCCATTTTCTTTTCCCAAAATAATACACCATTCACTTAAAACCTAGGACTACTTTTGAAGAAAATGCACTGGAGCTTATTATTCACAATAGAAAAAATTATTCTGATTCTTCAAACTCTTTATCTGAAATAACTCTCGACTGTTTGTGTGAGCTAATGTGAGCTGATGTGAGTTGTTAATAGTCACCAGCTCACAAGAGGCACGGATCACCGCAATAAAAACCATAAAACTCCGAGTGATAATTCGAAAACCTTAAAATCTCCTAAGAGGTTTTCTTTGACGGTGAGGGCCGAGAGCTACTCTCTGACCAGCAGCTACTGCTCAACGATAGCTATTGTGTCACCAACAGTTACTCTTTGTCCTTCAAATAAGATGAAAAATATAAAAGGTAAGGCCCCAGTGCGGTAATGTGTCTTTCACGCAAAATAGAATTGTCAACAAAGATGTCTAAAATGTGGCGCAATCTGAAGAACGTTGAACGCCCAGCCGCCCGTTTGGCATGAAACAGCCAGATGAAGCAAAAATCACATAGCCCCATTTGTGGACTCAAACATGCCCTTGGACAAAGAGACATCGTCAACAGAGTAGGCCTAATCATGAGTGTCACCCACTGATATGGGCGAAGGATGATTGATATCTAATAAATATTTAGAAAGCATCCTGATGATCAGAATTAATTAAATGTATAACTTCTCTTGGTTTAGGCCCGGAAATTCATTTACAACTGATGGGTTTGTTCTAATGACAAAAAGGCCCAGACAGTCTTATACGCTCTGTATGTACATCATTCATCCGTTAAGTGAGCATTTTATATTTTCTTCTTTTTTTTAGCCTATTCTGTAAACCATTTACACATTTACGATGCCAATGATGTTAATAAGCCAGTTTCTTAGCAGTCGCGGCCTACGCAGCAACCCTGTCAGACCACATACTATATTATGTAGGGACTGCCTTTATAATGTTTTATGTAGTAGAGTGCAGAGATGTCAAATAAAATGAATTAACCACTAGGGTTTTGGTGTTCAACGTGAAGACCATGATGTCCGACAGTAAAAATCATCATTTGAGGAAATTGAGAAATTTTACAAAAGGAAAAACATGGGAAATTTCAGTTGTTTTTCATCATCCCTAGTCATTGATAATTGACTTTGGGTATTACGGAATAAGAATTTGATAGCGATTGTCCTTTGTGCAGCGACAACTTTTAACATACAAAAATTGAGACTTGCGGAATTCAAATTGTGGAAAGAGGGAACGTGTCTCTGGCATGCAATATAAACAATTAAAATGCAGGACGCAAAATCTGAACGAATAAAGTTCGGACTGTAAGACACCTATTTACAATTGGCAAAGATGAAACGACGACGATAGTCTGGCACGTAACTACGTGAGCGATTCTCGTTTAAAGCAATTAATTATAGTTTCTCAATTCTTTACAAACTCCTTCATTCCATGCGGAAACAAAGGGATCACTCTCTTCTTTGTTAGCACGAGAGGATGAATTGAGGATGCTTCTGACCAATTAGTGACTAAATACGGTTGCCATATTTTAGTTTCGTGGAATTTCTGTTGACTACATGTATATTTTCAGTATCGCCAGTTTATACAATATAAAGAAGCAGTCTTTTTACAATATGACTGTGGCTTTTTTTTTATTCCGCAGGGAGATTTGATGTAAGCTGCATGTACAAAAATACCTGACATATGGCATGACAAAGACCGGGACTTCCAAATTTAAAAATGAACAAAACCAAATTTCTAACTTACAACTTTTAAAAATACAACACCTACGAATGCAAGTACAACTTAGTGTATGATATAGTTTCCGTTTTCGTGTAGTACTGCACGTGCTATAGAAAGATGACTCTTCAGTCGATAAAACATAAACATGGGTAGAGTTGAATACTCAGGAATATGTTTTTAAAAGGGTTTTTGCATGATGCACCTGTGGGATACACATAATTATGGCCGACCTTTTAGGATACGCTGTCAAAATGATACTTCTTTGATCAGATTTTTTGACTAAATAGGATGATGAAACATTTTGTTTGAAGTGACTGACGTAAAAGACTTAACAGAATGTGTTCTTGTACGCATTTACAGTCAATGAATTTAAATGGATGCCTGATTTCTTAAAATGAATGGTATGAACATGTTTTCGATGCTGCGTGAAAATATATTTTATGTCAGTTCAACCCATTTGGCCGTACAAAAGTTGAATTTTTCACTTCACAACAAGGACATTATATGGAATAAATCCACTGAAACCTACAGGTGATGATTCGAGTTTCAATCCGATGTGCAGTAAATTTGAAACTATAAAAAGCAAAATGCTTTTTGGAGGAAATCTGGTATTTTTTGGCTTCGTATCACTTCCGCCGTCGACGGCGCATTGTTGCGTCGTTGCGTGCATTTGTGGCGTCGTGCCGTCGCATATTTTGTACACAAAGTATAGGCCCGTCGCATCGACCCGTCGTGCAGTCGCGTTGTCGCATTGGCATCGCAAAAGGGGATTCATTAACGTATAATCTGAAGATGTAGACCTTTTCATCTTATGGCATAAACTTGAACTCGGAAAGAAAAGCTTATTAAAACTTGTCCGAACGGGAATAATTATGGGGGATGGTTGTGCTAAACACCGCAGTCACAACAGCAACAGCGCCCTCCTGGTGGAGCACACGAAACAAATTCCATTTTAATGAAAATGCGACGATGCAACAATGCAACAATGCGACAGTGCGACAAAGCGACGGCACGACGCGACAATGCGCCGTAGACGGCGGAAGTGTGGGGAGATCCAGGCCTAAATGCCCCACACGTTCCGCGTAAAATGGCAGGAATGGAGCTCCATAGAAAGGACCTGGTTGTAAAAAAATCCACCTTGCTGCTTGGGGTTATTTTGGGGGCGTGGCTAGAAATGCACTTCCACAGCAGCATAATGAAATACAGTTTGAGAGGGGACCTGAGGGATGTATTGACTGCAGTCGTACTTGTTCAGTTATGACCGGGAACTCCGGGAAATGATGTGGTGATGATTTTCTCCGTGTAGAGAAAAGGTCCCTCTTTTTGGCGTTGTGGCTCCGAGGGTAGAAATGTAAAGAATGTAGAGCCCTAGTGAAGAAATTAACGTTCTTTTCTTATAGAAATACAGTAAATTCCAGCATGTGATTATCTGAACTATGACTACCGCTCGGGGCTTGGGTTACAGACACCACATTCTCTTAATCCTACATTAAGGAAAACCCATCAGTCAATATGGCTCGTACATTACGTTCGCAGTGGAAACGAAAGTTGTTCTACCACTTTTTGGTTGAGTTTATCGATTTCTCGTCTACGTACAGTATAACATCACATTTCAATGCAACCCCGCGTGCTTCTAGACGTTCGTCCATTACAGCGGTCGATTTATAGCAAATAGCGTGACACTGTATACAGTTTGTATTCATTTTCGAGACAGTGAACATCTTTTGATATTTCCAAAAAATGTTCTAGTTCCTGTCCAATCTGTCACTGTAAGTCTCTTCCTGTTGTGGAGCAGAATTTCCGAACTACTGGTGCAAAAAGTTCCATTTTCTTCGTGTCTATGCTGGCCTATTAAAAAAAGTCAAATTACTGATACCGATAGACTTGTTGTCATTTGCGGATCATATTACGGTAAAAATGACGGCGTGAAATTGGCACAGTTAAAACAAAGAAAGAAGCATGTCGGGGTGCACCGCCGGAGGCCTTGCACCAGAGCCCTCCACCACCAGTTAAGGGTGCACGCCCTTGAATAAGCCACAAATATATCCACCAAGCTCAGTAAAAACAGTTATACACTTAAGATATTCTATATTAGAAAGTCCTGAGAAACATAGAATTGAGGAATTGGAGAATATGGCACTGAACCTCTCGCAGAGCTAGACTTATAGGGCTTTCAATTCTGAGCAATTTAGATGCAATCGGGCCCGATAGTGGCACTACTTTGCTGTTTTGCAGAAGAATGCTTTTTCAAAATGGCTTCTTTCCCAGCCAGGGAAATATCCTTTGTTTTGGGGGTGGTCTGCTTTGGGTGAGAGTTTCTCAAAACGTCATTGGTCAAACAACCAAATCTTGAAGGGAAAATGAAAGACAACATGTTGAACATCATTTTTTTCTGTGAGGCCAGGACACTTGTGAGCGTTATGAATACTTTAAAACGAATTTTAAAGTATTAGGATTTATCACTGGTGTCTATGGGAATTTGTTTACTGGAGTGCACCCTTCGAGCTATTAAGTGGCAACAATATATCACCGTCTATTATCACATGGTAGTCGATACAAAAGGCATGCGTGGAAGATGTCTAATAAGAGCAATAGTATGTATCACATGTAGAAGGATAAAATATCCGAAATATATCAAACTTTATTTTTTGTTATAATTTTGAATGTACCGTCACAAAAACCAAGACGTTGCCCTTTCTGTGGGATTTGTTCACAAGTACACAGTACCCTAAACTGGATATTAAAAATTTTAAAAACTCAGAAGGGACTCACACTGCAGCAGGAAATCTAGTCCTTGAGAATGGACAGGTTTGAGGTGGTGGAGAGCCACGCTGATCAAGAGAGACACCTGCCATGACCACGCCCATCCCATCTTCAAAGGCGAAATGTCTTAGAATACCATCTGAACAAATAAAAGGTAAAAGTCACCCCATGTGATCTATGTAAGTGATACTGAGTAAAAAAGTTTGAGTAACGATTAGTTCATCGTTATGTATCATGGAAGGGAACCGAATCTGAACAATTCCTTCTTTTTCAAAATTACTCTCGAGTGCAAATTTGTTTTCATGAAAGAGAGAATAATAACATGTTATATGTTTCAACACAGTATAAGTGGTGAATATGCGCTACATCATTTAGACTGAAAAGGAAAATTGTCAATAAAGCATGTCCCTTGGTAACATCTTAACTGACTCTTGGGACTAGACAGAAACATGATTTGACTATGTTCATTATACCTGAGCTACATATACCTTGCGTCGTTCGTTTGCTGCATTATTAAGGTGGAGAAAACTACACCGTTAACACCGTTTTGGACATCTGATTACGAGGTGGTAACTTAACACTGCTGTTTTACGGGGGAAGGTCTCAAGTACAGTGCTGGAAACAATGAATCAGCTGTTGTTCACTTCATTAACTGTCCACTCATGGACATCATTTTTTGTGATATCGGCACTTATAATCACGTATACTGCAGGCACAGATTTTTCTGTGAGCCTGCCCCAAAGAGTATTATTTAGGACAGAGACGGACTATTAACTGAAAGTAACAAATGAGTTTCAGATTAATGATCAGTCAGTGAGTTTGATATCGATTTGTTTAGGCTGTGAGGAATTTGAGAGTTTTCTTACCCAATAGCGGAGCAGATTTCGTCAGTGCTCAGATATCACCTGATGATTCCAATCTGACGCTGAGCCCGCACAATGCTGACGAAGAAAATGTCACGCAGTACACGCAGTACCAATCAAAGCACTTGAATAGTTCGGCCGTGGACTAGGCTGACCGCTGTCAGGTGTTTTCACTTCCAAACACTTTGGGCGTTTTCTGCGCAACTCACATTCCGCATGGGCTTTGTGTGCTGTGTACCTGCTAGTTCTGTCCATCAGACAGAACGTGTTTGCTTTTAAATGCAGCAAGCCTAAAGTAATTTACATTGTCAATGCATTAAAGTAATGAATTTGCTCTTTTACAAATCTTTTCCCAAGAGAGTCCAAAATGAAAAAAAGAGCAATTGATAATTTAACACAGATACGCATGGTATATACATGTACTTGATAGAAACTAGAACTGCACTCAGCAAATTGCAACATTGCCAATGCTGGTGGTTTTTCCGAGTAAATTCTATAGCATGCACGAGATAAGTCGTTCAAATATAAATAACGACAATAAGAGAAAACAGATATTAAAAAAATCAAAATTCAAGAATGGAACGCTTTTCAGATCATGCATTTCCCTCGTTTGCAGGAACATGACGATGTCAGAATTAATTAAGTATAAGGGCGGATCCAGGAGCCCATCCCCCCAAAAAGGATGCCAAAGAATCATTTTTTAATTAACGAGAGACCTTATGGCGTTTTTCCGATTTAGATTGCCTTCCCTTCCAAAAGTGTATAGCCCCCCCACCCCCCCCAAATACACAAAAACGTAGCCTCAACCATAGGAAATGTCACTTACGGTTAAATAAACAAAATTTAACTTTTTGGTCCCCGCCAAAGCAAGCTAAATCTACCCAATGAAAATGGCTCTGCATTCGCCCTTGCTCATGTATGATTTCTTCTGTAACAATTAAATGAGATTTTCTGTTGCAAAATGCAAGTTCTTTCCTGTAGTCTGGAGGAAAGAAATCTGAGTTTTAAACATGCAAGTAAAGACCTGTCGGCATTGTGCCACAAGAATTTTACAAAAAACAAACATTTTGAAAATATGCATGATTGTTTTGGTGAGACCTAATTATTATTAATGACTTCATGAAACTGACATCCATTAAGGCCTACGCGAAAGTTAGGATCCATCATTTCTGTTCTTTCGTTATACTATAGAAAATTACTGCATCCATCACCCGAAACTGACGAAGCATTGAAAAGATTACCCCACATGTGTAAAGACAGAATGGCCTTGGCTAGCTGACCTGACGACGTCGTCTATTAATTATCGAGCCTGCCCGAACGAGTTTTATTTGACAAAGATATTAGGATAAGTGACATTGCTTGTCGTACGCCAAGTCGACTGTTTTATGGCGATCTTGAAGACATGCACGGATTCTACCACCGCACATTTGACTCCGAAAAGCCATCAACAGCTGAACGATGTTCCGATATAATTAACTAGACAATATACAACTCTCTTCTAGGCCTAATTTTTAGAACGTTTCAATCTTTTAGGGGGATTTAATCATGGGCTTAATTTAAACAAAAACCACTTAAACCGAGGACAACGCATTAGATGAATTTCCATGTGTATTCCACCTTTTCTGCGTGCATATTAGCCTATTCAGTGGGGATTTCTTGAAATTGCATACGACTTCCATTTTGCCTGGTTCGGCAGGTATATACAACCTATGCTTGATCAGTAATCAAGCATCACCCCATAATCAAAGTGAAAAAGTGAAACTACTGTACACGTATTTAAAACCAGAAGTTTAATAGGTGTTTTAATATACAGAATTAGTTTTTATAGGGAATGCATTGAAAAAAATGCATTAGTAAAATAGAGGAATATATAGGCCCTAGTTGGAAAAGGGACCATAATAACATGGAACCCAAGCTCCATGCATAGAATTTGATTTTTAAGATTAAAAATTAGGCCCTACGTGCGACCGACGCGACGTCTGAAAAATGTCTGTAGACTAAATAGGGAACGGGATTAAGTCTAGCATAGAATTAACTGCTGACGCGCTCTTTTTTTTTATTACACAACTGTCAGGGGGATACACGATACTTTCCTATGGGAAAATGTTCTATAGCCAGTCTTGAGAAGAGACAAGTCTTTGCGCCTCGTGGAAGCTACACCCCTCCAGCCCCTGCCCATCCGCTGGATAGCATACGCCAATGCTACTAACACGTACCGTCTAAACGTGTCGCTTAATCAGCTGTAACTTAAAATATTATCTCTGTACGCTCTATGTGAGGCAAGGGGCAGTGAAAATTTTCAAACACTTTCTGAAGTAGTCTGCTCTGGTATTCACATCCAACAGTAGTACTTTGAAACCGGCACTGGCTGGGCAAAAACGGTAATTATCAATATAGGCCGGTCAACCTCAACGCCTTTGTGCACTAGCTGCCAATTCGAGTATCGTGATATACGACTGAATTATTACACAGTCAAGTTGACTGGCTGTAACTCCCAGCAAGAAAGGAGGCTGTAAGGCTGGTGGGGCGATTCCAATTAGTATGATATAGTCACCTCTGGTTTCTGTTCAACCGTAGGGCCTATGTATCACAACTAAGAAAAGAAATGTTGGTACATAACATGAAGTAGGCCTAAATAAACATGGGCATAGGTTTACATCATGAACTACACCAACGTTCCCAATATATACTATAGATGAAGGGGGAGGGGTATACAAATACATGCTGCCAACTTGAACTCAGTGTACAAAAGTGTCAATTCTAAGCCACTATACATACATAGTTTAATGTGTGCATATAGGCCTACATGTTAGTGTACAATACCTGGATATAGATTTACAAATAAAACACACTTGCCGCCACCCTACAAAAGCTACTTAATTGACTTCTGCAGTACGTGTCAACTTACCAGTCGATGCAGCGAAATCACCCTCTCCCAGGGTCTTTCTTAACGTTCATAATTCAGAGCTATATGTACAACAAGATCAAGAACCTTGATGCAAATACCTAAAAAATACCATGCTGCAAGCCCAACTTAAAGTTATGACGCGGAAAGCCGATTAACGAACATGTCCATGGGCACAGTTAACTGAATCCATACACATGTACCTTAAATTCCCTGTTATGTGGTCTATCCTGTCAAAAAGTGTTCCATATTTGCCCTTATACATTTATCAACGTCTCCCTTACC